TAACTACCCAAAAAGTCAACTTTTACCGACTAAATCTTTTTTGGAATTTACTTATGATAGCAGATTTATGGGTGTAACTTTACCATCCAATAAGAAGAGCATTAATTTTATCAGTAATGGTAGAAATAGGTATATAATAGTTTGCAGTGGCGGTTTGCCCGTAAGGGCACTCGGGCACGTGCCCTAGTATAATAAACCAAAAAAAAAAATTACTTACATATTTTATATTTTCCTCAATGCCTAATATTATTTTATCTAATATTCAGCGAAAAACCGCGTTGGCACGACACTGGACGACCGGGCGTTGAGCTACGTTCCGAGAATTCCGAAATTAAGTGGAAGATGGGCACAGGCACATACTTTGATTTTCTTTTACTATACGGAGAATAGTCGCAATGCGCAGCTTTCTGAGTGCCTTTTAAAAGGATATAGAAAACTCCGCCATTTTGAACCCTTATTACGTGTTGCCTACATCTTGGCGCAATATTTTTAATAGGTGCGTTTTAATCATCCGCTTCTGCTTCGGAATTGTCGGTTTTCTTGTTTTAATCTAACAGGTTAGAATGACTGAACCGACAATTCCGGAAGCAGAAGCGGATGATTAAAACGCACCTGATATTTTGCTTGCTGCTGTCAGTGTCAGTGAATATTATTTTTGGAGTCACAGTTGCTAAAGAATCAGTTAGCTCACTCGGACCAGTTAAAAGTTCCAAAATAACATCCACTCCAAGAATACAAATTGAGGATACGCAGAAGACTGCTGTTTTAATATAGGCGGTTGTCATATATTGTATTATCTGAGTTGCGCAGTGTATAAACTGGAACATTGAGATAAAAAGTGCCGACGCAGAGTGAGCGATCTGATTCTTTAGCTATAAACTGTGTCATAGGGTTCAAAATGGCCGCGCCCTATGTTGGGCGTGTCGGACCTCTCTCTTGCCCCGTATAGTAATCAAAGTATGTGGGCACAGGGCACAGTAAATGTGTGCCTCTGTTGTTTTCTCTCTCATTATGATGCGAAATACAAGGACAACGTCAATATCGCTTAGCAAGAGATGAACACATGCGATGAATTATACGTCACAAGCGGGGCGCTGTCCTCATCGTGACGTGCTGTACCCATGGCACACATTACCTACCCCTCGCAAAGGCGATGCCGGTTTCGACTGAAGGTGCGCGTTTGTGGGACCATGATAATAATTTATTTATTGTGATTACGAAAAAACGTTAATTGGACCATTGGAATAGTTAAGAAATAAAACTACAAAGAAAAATACCTTTTTTTATAAATGATGAAAAAAAATTAATAATATTTATAAATGGGACAAAATTTTAATTTTTGTTTTGTTTTGTCCTGACTTTTTCGAGGATTTCAAATCTCTGTTTGCTTATTTAAGAGTATAAAAATTTTTGAGACTTATAAATAATTTAATAGTGTACATTTTCGCAAATTGTTGGCAAGGATGATCAAATTCTATTTTGTTCATCTCAAAAAGGTATGCGTTGAAAATTTCAGGCTTAGTTGACAAACTATCAAATAGAGATATAAATATTTTTTCTAATTTGAAAATATAAAAGAGAAATTTTTCGCTGGGAGATTTTAAATTGCCAAACACCTTTTCTTTAGAGTGGTATGCTTTAAAATGCGTTAACAAGTTAGAATTGTTAAGTCTTCTGAGAAATTTATGCAAATTTTGCAAGAGTGGATATGTAATGATTTTTTGATTAAATGGCAATGCCAACAAGACCCACAAGAACTAAACTTAAACGACAACACCCAATCAGGTCCAAGTATAAGCAATAAGAGACGGTTTGTTGAGAAGGAGGACCCCATTCCTAATTTAAGGATATGTAAGGAAATTTGTGATACAATAGTAGTGCAGGTAAATGAACGTTTTAGTTTTACTACCCACCTAACAATTGCAAGTTTATTTGATAGTGAAAAATTTAAAGACTGCCGAGGTTGTTTTCCAAATGAGGACGTTAAAACTGTGTGTAGTTTATTTCCAAACGTAAACCAGCTTAAAATTCAAAAACGAACTGTCCATACTTTACACCCGAGATGACTTTGTGCAACACAATGGGGCCGTACCGTTATTACAAATCTTCTTTGAGAACAATTTGACAATTACATTTTCGGAATCTGTGGAGCTGCTAACTATCCTGTGTACAATTCCCATGACCACAGTGGTGAGTGAAAGATGTTTTTTGACACTAAAACGTATTAAAACATTTTTAAGGAATACTATGTGCCAAGATAGATTGTGTGTATTAGCCATCGAAAAAAAACCTATTCGGTCCATTCCAAATTTTAATAATCTGGTCATCGATCACTTCGCTAGCCAAAAATCTAGAAGAATGGACTTCAACTATTAGAAATAGTATACAACTGCAGCGGTACCTAGCAGTTAGTCTTCAATTTTGTAATATTTAATTTGTTTTGAAATATATTTAATTTTCATTAAGCGGAGAACTTGTTTTCCTAAGGGAAAAACAAATCCCGGGATTCCTTTCCAGTGTGTGTCCCACTGCCGATAGTGCCCACGAGCCGCTACTGAATACAGTTAACGAAAAAGTTATAAATAGATATTTGAAAGAGGGCATTTAAAATTAAGCCTGTTTTCCCAAAATATCAAACTATGTAATTTCCTAATCTAATATTGAATTTTCTCCTATATCCCCTAGACCAGGGGTTCCCAAACTTTTTCAGTTCGCGGCGCACTCACAGATTTAGTATTTTGTCTAGTAGGCGCCTTAGGGTTGTTAAATTTACGAAACAGAAATTATTTCTAAAAGTAAAGAGCAGGTCTTTCTGGCCATCTTCTAAAAAAAAGGTCCTCATCAGCTTATATGATCCTGGGTGAGTGACCCAGCGGGATTTAAATTGTTTATTAAGTTTCCTCACGGTTCCTCTGTTTACTCTATACGACGCACCAGGGAGCCTCGGTGCACATTTTGGGAACCACTGCCCTAGACCCTCTTAATTTAACAAATCTCACCTATAAATTGATAATTAATGTTACTTGTCTTATGTACACAGAATTTAAATTATTACTAAAATGAAAACAATTAATATTTTTAATATTGAAATTTTAAATCCAGAAATATTGAGAAAGAACAACCCAAACAAATTTTTCCATTTGTTAAACATAAGCAAGAATTGTGTCTAGCCTCTACACTAATTGAATATTTAAAAAGGACTGAATCTCTAAGGCCTAATGTTAAACAGTTGTTAATAACCCTAAAAAGACCTAATCATCCAGATTCATCTCGAACAATCTCTAGATGGATAAGACATGTTTTTGAAAAAGCGGGCATTGATACAAAAAGATTTACAGCGCGTAGTTCAAGATATGCGGCAGTATCTGTAGCCTAAAGATTAGGCGCTAGTATTGAGACAATAAGAACTGCCGAAATTATATATTTATAATTTAACATTATTTTTAATTTTTCATTACAAGGTGTGGTCTTGTCATATAATTTCTTTAAATTATATTACTTAGAAAAGTATCCAATAAATAATTATTAAAAAATAAACTTATTTATCCACTTAATGTCTCTTTTTAATTGGGATTGTAATTAACAATAATCAAATTAAAATAATTTATGGATATTATACAATTGCTAGGTCACAGTTTACTTTAAACATCTACAATATGTGTTCTACTGAACCGGACCGAAGTATAATTTAGGTTTAAACAACTTACCTGTAAGGACGTTCAATCATAATTATACGATACCAAAAGTTGTATTTAATAGATTTTATCACGAATTAATAAAATATGATAATTTACAGTTACAGTACAAAAGCAATGACATAATATGACAAGCTTGCAACTAGATCCTTATAGTAATAATAAAGCCTACACATTAATAAAAAAATATATATGAAATTATAAAGTACTGTAGTAAATGGACTTCCTTGTCTAATACCATCCATTCACTGAAAGAGGATTCCTTTATTTTTTGTAATTTATTTGTATAAAATTCTACTACGGTAACCTTATATTTTTGTTTTGACGAAATATAATTTTTGGGGCGTTTTTAATAAAACTTTCAATTTTCAAAAATTACTGAATCTATGGATATCAAATTTTGTATACGTCATCGCACGTAGGTCTAAATCATTCCAACATTATCAGTTTTTCATTTTTTGAAAGAAGGCGCCACTTACAGACATACGCAACTTTTTTCTCAGTATAAGATTACTTATCGCATTTTTTTTTTTCCAAAATATTCTTAATTACAATTAATTTTCAAGAAAAAAGATACAAAGAAATGTAATAATTATTTATTTACGAATAGGATGAACGAATGAATTGGGACAAATAATATTATTAAGGTTGAAGAATGATATTATTATTTAGGAAGAAAAAGTATATTACAACGCAATGGTTAATATCTTCATTCTCAGAAAACGGTGCTCTGTAACAAAAAAAGAAAAGAAGACTTTTTGCTTAAAAATGAAATGAAACTAAGAATATTGAAAGAAATCGGATAGTCATACACTGAGAAAAAAAGCTAGATTACAAAAATTAGTTCCATAATAATTCGATTTTCTCAAAACAAAAAAAAAATACGTGTATCTTTATTTTTAAAGTATTATTTTTGCATCGTCATTTAGAATCACTCTGTATAGTAAAGAGTCAGGCGTTAACGAAGTTTATTCGAAAAAAAAAAGAAAATATTTATGAATGTTAGAAAACGGAGAGTTAACCAAAAATCGCATAGCTCTTGTTAACACTGTAGTGAGGTAACTTTGTCGTGGAAAAATTATTACTTGATTCTTTGTTGTATGACACCATCCAAATGTACCAGTTATGATATTATTAGCTATTATTATCAAGTACATGATGTATGATTATCGATTTCTGATCAACTAAAAATGTAGGAAATGTTACATTTTTAGTGACATAATTTTTATAACTTTGTTTTTTTATTTATTTGTAAGTTTAAAATCTAAATATGAAGTTTATTTACAAAATTATATTTTGTTGCAGGTAAACGTGGAAGATCACTAGAGAATATTTGTCCTGTGGGCGATCCTTTACGAATCAGCGACACTGTACGTCCATTTTTATGTGGAAATGATCCTGGAAAACCACAATGCCCTCCCTTGTACCAATGTTTGGTTCAAAAAGGTAACGATGATTATTATAATGTATTTTTTTGTACCTAGCAAACTATTTAATATACTAAATCCTCTATATAGAATAAGAGAATGTTGGTATATTTTGCTAGGTGGTTCTATGTTAATTGCTAATTATTTAGCTTAATAATTCCTGTTTGTAAAAACATATCTAGAAATAACACATATGAAATTTGCAAAATGGCTTGTTTTTACAATCAAAGTCATGATTTACCACATTCGTATTCGCTCGTGTCAATAGTTTCACACATCATGTGGAATAGGTTACTTTCCGTACTTGTTGCACAATATACTTTACAAGGAATTTAATTTTTCTAGATTACTTATCTAGAAAAGGATGCAAAAGGAATTAAAACCTGCAGAACTCCTAAACACAAAACTAAACTTTGCAACAGAGGTGAAGTACCTAGGTCTCACCTTTGATAGCAAGTTAACATGGAACTCGAATTTAGAAAATAGAGTTAAAAGAGCATACATTGCTTATGAACAATGCCGCCGAACCGTGGGGCGCACCTGGGGTTTCTTCCCCTTTACACTTAACTCCAGATTCTTATTCTTATAGTTCAAACAGAGCTAACAGGTATTCTCATAGCAGCAAAAGAAATAACCAGAAACAATATCACAGGAAGGAACATGCTCATCTATACAGATAGCAGACAAGCACTACTCACCCTGAACAGACCACGAATTTACTCAGGGTTAGTACTAGAATGTCACGAGGCTTTGGCCGAAGTATCCATCAACAATGTGATCACCTTAAGATGGATGAAAGGTCACGCCACATCGAAAGGTAACCGTCTTGCTGATTCACTAGCCAAGAAAGCAGCCAACCAAATACTTTTTGGACCTGGCCCTTCTATTGGCCTGACAAAATCGGTAGTGACAGACCTAATCAAAGAACATTCCCTTGTGAAATTCAAGGAAAGATGGGATGAAACAAGAAACTGCAGAGTTGCCAGGGAGCTCTTAAGTTATCCCGACAACACTGCAGCAAACAAATACTTGACTATGACTAGATAGAATCTGCGCCTAGTCACAGGCATTCTGACTGGTCATTGCCAAGTACGAAAGCAACTCCATATCATGGGGCTGTCAGAATTCGCACTTTGCCAAGGGTGCGAACAAGAAGATGAGACCATCGAGCATATACTTTAAGATTGCCCGACGGTCTCATTTATTAGATTTATGTTTGGCGAGTATCGGCTAACACCGGTTGATAAAGAGAAGCACCTCTTGGCGACGTTGTCAACTACATAAAATCTGTAGGCTGGCTCACGAGCTAGGAGGTGCCTATCATCTCAGGAGGATGCATAATAGGCCTAATGAGGCCTAAGTGCCGTGGGGATAACTCACTCTCCACACGTTACAGATACAGATACTTATCTAGAATAAAAGCGCCACTACGAGTTCTAGTATTTCGATTTTGAAATCATTGTTCTCGTTAGTTTTTTGTGAGCTTATAAATAGGTATTTGTGTTAGTTTTTGTTAGTTTCTTTAGAAATAGCTGTAGAACTTTTTTCAAGTACTTCAGATGTACAAATTATATTTGATGTTGGCGAAGCAGGGTCTGTTTGTTGAGAGTTTGCTATTTCATTTTCTTCTTCGATTTCTAAGATTTGTAATCGCAGCAAGTGTCAAATTGATCTATTTTGAAACCAGTTGGGAAAAGAAAACAAATAAAAATAAACCTTTTTTAGTTTTAAAATCAATAATATACATTATTATTGAAAGTTTATATCAAAGAATGACTTACAAAAATAGAATTTGGTTAAACTTACAACCTAGTAATAATGTTGTTTTGGTCCCTATTTTCCAGTTAAAATCAGCACAAAATAATTAAAATACAATACGTGACAAAATAATCCACTGTTTTGAAAACTAAATAACTTTAATAAACAATATAAACACACTGCAAGTCGTTGAGAATAAATAATGAATAATGATGTTATAATCGTGTTTCTAATTATCAATAAAATAATGCATATGCAACTAACAATACAAGAAAGTAATATTGGTTGCCTAAATGTCAGTATTGTTTAACCAAAACACATTTGTCTCGTTCATGTTGCGGGACCTCGCTCTGCTCGTCCCGCAAATATTCACTAGTTGCATAAAATAAGGCATTTCGCAACTGGTTTCATAAATAACTATTTTCTCCTTGCAACTTTTATAGTTTTACAGTGTTTATCAGGAAAGTACGCAATTAATTTTGAAGTGTGACAGTAGTGTAAAGCAAGCGTAGTAGACATAAATACTGATTCATTTATAAAACGCATGCTCGCTCCTCGGATAAACATACTCACATAAACCATCCCCACTAAAATCAACAGTTGTCTCCTTCTTTCTAATGCGGCAACCGATGCGACATCTCTGTCGGCGTAATAATAGAAACAATTTAAATGATAGCATTAAAAAGGGCTTAATTATGAATAAATTAATTAGTGTAGTAGTTTTTTATCGTTGGCTGCTACCTTTAAGATTTGTAGTTATTTTTTTTTTTTTTTTGAAGAGCTTTATTTGATTTTCTTTGGGGATATACAGTGTGTCTACGAAAGTTGGCTACATATAGAAAACTTTTTTATTATTAATTTTATCAAAAAAATGTATTTTTCATAAAAAATTTTGCTTGGTCTACAACCATCCGATATCAAATTTTATAAGTCGTATACTAGGTTTGTCAAAAATACTTTTTTTGTTAATAGTAAAGTACATTCATTTTTGACAAACCTCGTATACGACTTATACAATTTGATATCTGATGTTGTATTTTAGGTTTCAGACTGTGCACAATTTTTTCATGACTTAAAACCTAAAATTTAATAATCTATAACCAAATTTTATCAGTCGTATACGAGGTTTGTAAAAAATAGAAGTAGTTTACACTTTTTTGACGCACCTCGTATTCGGCTTAAGAAATTTAATATCTGATATGTAAAAAACGACTGTGACGCCTATGGCAAGAAAGAATCACGTAACGCTGACTAAGCGCTACCGGACAAAGGAACTTAAATTGTTCGATATATTTTTTGGCGATTTTCGGCAGTTGAATTTGATCTGTAGTCTGTAGTGATTAAAGTATTTAATATAATATTCTTAAAAACACCGGCATTTTTCGTGTCTTCAACGGATAGTTGAATTTTAGGTTTTAAACAATGCAGAACTTTTTATATAGAATATATTTTTTTGATAAATCTAATAATAAAAAAGTTTTCCATAAGTAACCATCTTACGTAGATACACTGTATATTATTTATCTTATTTTCCTGAACGTTGACCAATAAGTCAGACAACTTTGTGCAGATGGATTCCATGGGTATGTCACCTATTTGTCATCATAAACCAAAAAATAATGATATTATTTTCCCTTTGTTCCTTTCTAAAAGTTTATTTTACAAATTTAAATTTTCGACTTTAAATTTCTTAATTTTTTACAATTAAAGATTCGATGTTTAATAATATATTAGTTTCTGATGCCTCTATTATTACATTTCTTAATTTTAATTTACATTTCTTCTTTTACTCAAGAATTTCTATAATAATTGGTTTCTAATCTGACATTTTAGTGTATGGACACCTTTAAATTGTTAAATTGCTTTTATTCTAATAAGCAAATATTTTTTTTTTTGGAAGATTGAGTTTTATGTTATTATGATATCAGAGTAATTGAATGTAGAGAAATTTTGAGATAAAGAAAATTATTTTTGATTATTTTCAAGACTGTCTTTGGAATTTTCTGTTTTTAGGTTTTAAATATTATTTAACACATTACTTGTATAGCAACACATACACTTATAATGACTAATTATTATTATTTTTATTACATGAATATTTTCAGGCAACGATTATGGAGTGTGCTGCCCAGCTTCTCTAAAAATTCAAAAAACGGGATCCTGCCCGATCGACATCGAGAAACACCAACACTGCGGAGCGATGTGCACACACGATCTGGAATGTCCTTCGGTGCAAAAATGCTGCAACACAGAACAATGTGGGCAATCCTGCGTGCATCCGAAAAATGTCACAGGTAAATTAATTGTTAAGGATGACAGCGATATTTGCTATTTTATAAAAGTCATAGTTCAAACGACTAGCTATTACAATATAGTAATGAGATCGAAGAAAGGATTAAATGAGGTGTGTTTCGTTTCGCAAGCTAAGTGATGTGTTATTTATCTTGAGAAGTTGAGATTAGGCGCAGCTTATATCGTGAAAACGTAAATATTTTTCTTTTTTCAATCAGTCAAACGTTTTTCAAAGTCTAATACAAAGAATAGCGTAATTAAAATGAACTGTAGAATCATATTTAGTTAGTATTCAATAGAAAATTGTATCATTTAAGTACAAAGTGTTTTAGCAAAAATAATTAATAAAGTTTAAAATCGTATGTTTTGTGGTCATATGTCTACTTTTATTTTCCTATCTTTGTATCTACTGTAGGACGAGTGAAATAGAAAAATAATTATGTCTGTTATTTTTGTGTAGATCTAATATTTCATCAATGTATTCCCCTTTACAAGTCTACAAAACTGATTTCTCAGATGTTGAGTGGTAAAATTGTCACGTCGTCTAAGATGTTCGGCTATTAATCGCCCATCATTTTACCAGCATATTCCCGTTAATGCTTATCTTTATTTTCATGAAGACTCTACAGCTTGCTTGTACAAAAATATTGTATATGCATGCTTGTCAAGCTTGCAGTTGCGTGTATGGGTGTTATTGAAATGCACGTACATATTAAAATGGGGAATAGTATGTAATGACCAAAAACGATTGGCACCAATTTTAACTTCAAATTCTAAAATTTAAATATTGGGGAAGAGTCCCCTTTTCCGACCTACTAGTTTCCATATTTAAAGAAGTAAAATAAATCGAAATTGAACTTACCCATAGAAATTGCACTGTTGCCGTAGCAAAACCAATTAATTCAAAATAAAGTTTATTACAGTAATTGTTCAAAATGCCGTCCATTATTATTTACACACACTTGCAATCGTCTTTCCAAAGAACTTTGAACATTAGAAATTAGTCTTGGATTTTGTCGTAGTTCCTCGGCTACCGCATTAACTTTATTGGTTAATTGTTCAACACTATTAATAGGTTCATTATAAACCAGTTGTTTCATGTGACCCCACAAAAAGAAATCGCATGGATTTAAGTCCGGAGATCTCGGAGGCCACTTAGTAGGTCCATTTCTGCCTATCCACTTTTGAGGAAATCTAATGTTCAAAAACTGCCGTACGTTTAAATCAAAGTGAGGAGGAGCGCCATCTAGTAGGTACCACATCCGTTGCCTTAATTGTAACGGTATCTCTTCTAGGAGTACTGGCAAAATATCTTCTAAAAAGTGGAGATATCCTGGCCCATTTAATCTGTTCGGGAGAACATAAGGCCTGATTAAATACTGATCTATTATGCCAGCCCAAACATTTATTGAAAATTTTCTTTGATGCCCAGTTTCCCTAATGGCGTGAGGATTTTCATCACTCCAAATATGCGTATTGTGCATATTGAACACGCCATCACGAGTGAATGAAGCCTCGTCAGTATACAATAATATTTTTAGAAAATCAGGAATATCAACACATTTTTGAATCATCCATTCACAAAACTCCACTCTCTTTTCTTCATCACCTGGATATAAGGCCTGGACTTTTTGGATGTGATAAGGATGTAAACCTTGTTCTTTAAGTGTCCGCCACACAACAAATGAGGACACTCCAATTTCAAGACCTAGTCTTCTACAACTTAATTGAGGCCGGTTTTCAACAGCTTCCAATATTTCTTCTTCGGCCGCCAATGTTCTTTGTGTTCTTGTTCTCCCTCGATCTGCATTGACACTCTCAAAGTTTCCATGGTCTCTTAGATGCTGAACAGTTGAAATAAACGTACGACAGTCCGGAATTCTCCGATTTGGAAACCGTTCGCGATACAGGATTTGTGCTTGCCGAGAATTTTCTCCAGCTGCCCCATAAACCAGCACTATATCCGTTAGTTCAATATTCGTAAATAGTGGCATCGTAAAAAAATATTTAAAAGTAATCGTAACAACACTTTTTACCAACTTGGAAATGACGCGCTCGTGTTAGCCAGATTCGTAAATCAACTAAATTTTAATAATCTATAGTTTCAAAAATGTATAGTTTAAAAACAATCATTTATCAAATATTCTAGTTTTTTGATAACGAGGGTAGTAAAAACCAGTCTTCGGAAATAGAAATTAATTCGAAAATCTTGGCAACATGGTTATTTCTTACAAGACTAGTTTTCTTATCATCTGACAAAAACTTGCATATTAATTACTGTTGATGTTTAAAATAGGTAAATAAACCTAATTTATATAGGTCATCCTCAACATATCAGTGAAGTACGTTTGGTTTATAATTAATTTTTAAAAATTAATAACTCCCTTAATAAGGGGTATTTTTAAAAAATAATATTTTTCTACATTCAGTGGGGATCTGCGCAATACCCAGTTTTAATATGTACGTGTATTTCAATAACACCCTGTATACCACCTTTAATGTTTTGTTCCAGAGAAACACTAATCATATTTGTAAATGCTCGAGGTATTATGTCTAGCAAAGTGGTTTTCAACAGAGGAAGCTAAAAGTGTATTTTAAATAAAATATTTAGCTTCTGACACCTATATTTTATCAATCAATACATTAGGGGGTGAGTGGCTCAGTGGTACAGTCTCTGCCTGCGGGCCCAAGGGTCCCAGGTTTGAATCCCACCGTTGGCAGGGATTTTTTCTTTTAATATAATCATTTAAAATTAATTCTGATGCTTTGATAGGATTACCCACTCGACCATTCACTGTTGGGTTCTAATTAACAGTGCTGTTCCTGGCGCAAGGAAACAGTAACAAGGCCTGTCTATAGGGGGGTAGGAGTATTAGAGTATTAGACTACTAGTAGAATCCATAACCTACATAGAACACGGCTAATGACCTTAGTTGTTGAAGCCAAAGACACCAATGAAAAAAAATCAATACATTAAACTACTAGATCACCGATACAAAAATATAATACAGTTCATCAAATTTCTAGAGGCTTTCGACGGCTAGACAAAGAAAGCACTACTGACAGGCATCCCGACGGATTTACGCAATGAAAGTACACTCTGCGCATCAAGTATTTCACTATTTCATTCAGACGTAAATGTCAGATGTAAATTTCGCTAAAACATTTCTTTTATTTTCGTTTGTTTTTTGCTCATTACAGTTTAATAGAACCTAAGTATGGAGTTTAATAGCAAATTAAGAGGCCGCCTGATTAACAGTCAATCTCGCGAAATAATAGCCAATGTTATAGAGTTTATGAGAAGAGAAGGAAACTTTAATTCACCTTCAATACCATTTAAAAATGTAAATGATCGTGTTGCTGCAGCCACAGGAGTATCTAAAAACACTGTCGTCCGCATTTCTGGAGAGAAAAAAAGAATCGATAACCGTGAGATATCGGAATTTTCATCACCAAGAAAAACCATTAAAAAACCAAAAACAGTTAATGATATAGATGAAGCTGCACAAGAATCAAATTTTATTTTTTTATTATTAGATAGCTATTTTTGTTTCTGAGTTGTGTTCATTTACTGGCTCAATTTTTTTCCGTTTCTCCTTTTTGATTTTATATGGGGTTTCAAGTTGTTTTTGACTTATTTCGACGTAAATCACAACAACACACTTTTTTAATAAAGCAAACAAGTGTTAAGAGGTATATGTACGTGTAAACTACAATTACAAAAAATTGATATGAAACCCATGAAACCACCAACAAAAATGTAAAGCTAGCTTCCGTACTAGAACATGGTGTCATTCGTCGAGATAATTTATCGTTTTGTTTAATAGATCAAGAAATGTAAATATTCCCCTGTTATTTTTTATAAAATTATAAGAGAAATAAATTTTTTTCTAAATAGTATAGTTTATTATTTTGTAGAAAAACAAAATTTCGAAAATTTTAGTAATGTTTCAGAAACAACCGTTATTAATAATAGGTACCATTTTCCTTAATAAGGTAGAAATAAAATATAAACTATTTCCACGATTTACAAAGGCCTACAAAAAAATTATAGGTATTTTCCGCTATCCTATAAAATTTATATTTTCTGACTCAATTTCAAAAGGTTGAAGGAATTCCAAAACACCTTTTATGGCATAATAATTATTTTCAATTCTACATACTATCTTTAGCTGCTTTTAAAAACGTTCTAAGAAAGTCCAATCAGACCAATTTAATCCCTAAACTATTCCACACTTTTAAAATTTAATTACCTAAAAATATTAAAAACTATTTAAAATAACTTGTTTAGCAGACTGTACAATAGCTATCTTAGTCACACGTAGCGCGTTCTCTGTCTGGGCGTCGAACACCTCTAGAAATTTGATGAACTGTATATATATAAAACCTAGAGAAACGACATTATATTTTGAGTAACTATAGCGACACTCCTCCATCAAAATGTAAGTCCTTTTCTTTTACCGCAAATTTCGGCTTTTCCAAAGGTTTTGTTAGAGAATCGGCTACCATCAATTCTGTCGGTATATACTCTAGTTTATACCTTTCCTTTATGAACAGCCTTTGACAACTAAGCAAACTTTATACTTAACTACTTTTCCATTTGCATCCTTCTTGATTTTAAAAACCCATTTGCAATTGATCGGTTTTCTATCAGCAGGGAGATCGACCAAATCCCAGGTTCTATTTTCTAATGGAGAATCGTATTCGGAGTTCATTGCTTCAATCCATTCTTGACGGTTACTACGGCTTAAGCTTCTTCTACACTTTATGGATCACCAAAATCGGAAGTAGTTGCAGAAAAACTTGAGAAGTATAAGAAAACATTTTGGGCTTTCAGCCTCTCAGAACGTCTAAGTGGAACTTCTTCTTGCTGAACTTCTTCAGAGTGAATAATAGAAGATGCGTGATTACTGAAGGATTCTGCTTGAACTTTACTTATTTCATCTGTCTCTATTTCACTATTTTCGGAGTTTTCAGTGACCTCGGAATCATTTATATTATGGAATAAAGTTTTCGTGTTTTCTGAATCGTTATTTGCATTATCGTCCCTCCTTTCTTCTTCGGAGAACACGACATTTCGGGTCAAAAAAAATGTATCCTACCATGATAATCCAGGTTTTTTCCTTGCCACACTTCTTCAGAAGTTAAATTATTCAGGATTCTAGTAGGGGAGCGATTTAGAAGTATGCAGAAGTTGAGACTCCCAGAATTTCTTTCTTGGTCCAGATTCAAATAAGAGACATCTAGTTTTTTCAATCGGCGCAATAAGGAACCGTCACTTGCCAGAAGTTGCAAGGACATTTATTCTCATTACAGTATTCGCCACCATTATCTGTGCGAATAATTTAAATTTTTTCTCCTTTCTGATTTTCGACAAAAATTTTAAAACTTTTAAAACATTCAGTCAGCTGATTTTTATTTTTTTAAAAGTAAATAAAAGCTATATGACTAAAATCTTCCAAAAATGTGAGAATATATCTTGAACCTGCCATTGAATATATCTCCAAAGGTCCACACAAATCGGAATGTTCTAGTTCAAGCAATTTTTTTGGACATTGACTTGCTTACTGAGAAAGAAAGGAAGTCGATGACTTTTGCTTTGAATACGAACATCACAGGATATTGCGTTGTTGATGTGTCCTAATCGTCGGTGCCATAACATTCGGTTCTTCTTTATGTTTGACTGATAAGCAATAGTAGAAGAAGATCGCAATGTAGGATGAATATCTAGCTTAATTAAATTTTCTAATGAAGCTGTAGCGATCAGTTTGTTATTTACGTTGTAAATGTCGAATATGACTGTATTACGTGTCTTCGCCATTTGACTAACTGACAAAAGATTAATACCTAGTTCAGGATCGTGCAATACGGGACTGACTTCAACAACAGAAAAAACTTTGTCGCGGATAACTGGTAATTTTATCTTTTACACATTTGCTTTCATTTGATAGCCATTTGCTAGAAGTAAAGTACTAATCCATTCGTCATTAATTTCCATACCAATGCCTTTAAGTTTCTGTGCCGTCGATAATATTTTATTTACATAGTCTTTAACGTTAGGAGTATCTTCCAAATTACACGTAATCACAGTCCTAAGGAGACCAATACGTCTAGTAAGGCCTTTATCTTCAAATGCCTTTTCTAGATTTTCCCATGCTTCTCTAGAAGTATTAATAGTTTGAACGTGAACATTAGTATAATTTTACTTTTCGTCTTCAAGTCCTTCTTCTTATCTAACTTTCTAGGATCTGAGATAACACAATCCCAGAGTTCTTCATGTTCAAGGTACGTCTTAATAGCAAATTTCCATGAGTTGTTATTATCCCTACCTCTTAACATATCAATAGAAGGGAGAATTTCGGAACCAGACATTATGAAATTTGAGACGCCTTAAGAGAACGACACACCAACGGCTAGAATTTGAAAATATCGCAAAACGATGCCTCTATTGCTAGTAACCCTTAAGTAGGCCCATAACATCTAGCAAAGTGGCTTTCAACAGAGGAAAACTACTCGATTACCGATACAAAAATATAGTATATATAAAAACTATAGTAACGACATTACATTTTGAGTAACTACATTCGCTCCGTGCGCGACTACAGCGCCAATTCGTTTTGGTACTAATGGACTATTTCTGCGTATACTGACAAATGCAATTTTTAATAGAATTCGTCATTAAAACGTATTTATGTTAGGTTTAATAAAAGTATATGGATTTGTAAAACAAGTAAAACATTAATTTATTATTATTATATATTTTTATCGCATAAATTAAAAAAAATATGTATAATCAATAAAAATCAATAATAAAATATAAGCAGGCAACAGTATTTACTGGAAAATGTATGAGAAGTTGCCTAAGTCTAATAAGTTTTCATTGAAGAATTAGCCTAATCTGTCAAAATAAAAAAATACCATAATAATAGCGTGAAGTTAAAATGTATAAAAAAAGGATAGATATTTATATTTTCATTTTTGTTCGAAAGAAAACAGAATGAATTATTAAAACTGGTTTTTTATCAGTAAGTCACACAATTGCATTCCAGCCACATATAATATTCAAAGGCAGAAATCTTGAAATCTAGTCCTTGCTGAATGAACATTTCAGAATAAAGGGATATTAAAGAACATCGTAAAATGATAATTTATTGTTTATTTAAAACCTTTCAAGTTTCTGATGTCTACTATTTCCAGCATTACTGTTATTATTACAAAAATAAAGGTAATTTTTCTTCTTATTGTACCTATCCATTTATTTCTTTGATTTAATTTCCACTTTGCTACTGAATTTTTTTATATAAGTTTTACTGTTTTTTTTTGTTAGTATTTGTACAATTTTCAACACAGCAACTCCGGTTGCTTATTGTATTGTTTTTACCTACTTTTTAGAAAAAAAGTAAAACGTATACGTGTATTTGATATGCCAAAATTACAAAATATCGTCCTAAAATGCGCGAATTATCCGCAGCTAGCGCTAGTATCGCTTTTGCTTCTCTTTCCATGACTTCGCACGGAGCAAATAGCGATATTATAAACCATTAAAAAATAATATTTTGTATGAATTAAATGTTTATAAATCTGTAATAATTCTCTGATATTTTGTCCTAACAAAGTTAAAACTTCATAGCCCATGTTAGTTTTTATGATTTAATTCAAATAAAATATTTTCAGAATCTGCTGCTCTTTTTTAATAAAATAGTGTAACTATATTTTCGCCTGTCCAAACTATTATAAGCATAAGCTCGTAGTTAAAATGTTTAAATGCCGGAGGAAACCGTAAAATTTCAGATGCCAATTATCTTCGATTTTGTTTTAGAATGTCTTCATCAACGCGCCCTATCGGAAGTTTTAGCGGTAAGCGAACGAGCAGGAAGAGGATACGTGCCCCAATGCACCGATGATGGTCAATTCGAATCGAAACAGTGCAGTAGAAACGGGCTGGTCTGCTGGTGCGTCGACCGTTTGGGAAGGAAACTGAAAGGATCGATGGGCCCCGCCGAAACCATCAATTGCTCTGGAACAGATGGTAAGTAATTTATTTCATATGTAAACCGTACGATAACTAAAGTTACGAATACTTCTTTGATGGCCGGTTTCCGATACATATCTCGTTATTGAAAGAACAACTATCGATCCGATAAAGTTATGTGTTCAATAAATCATAAAGCGTTTCTGAGAACTTATCTATAGATAACTATCGCTCGATAATAATCCAACATATAAGTTAGTTTGACATATTCTCAATAGATGGACTTTGACAATTAAACATCGTGTTGTCATTTTCATATAGCGGAAAATGGTAGGCGAATTTTCTAAAAGTTTCATAAAGTTTATTCAAGATGGTTATTGACCTCAGATGTCACTGAAAACAAAAAATACCGTTGGTACAAGTGTAAAAGAAAAAAATCCTCTTATGTTATGTTAATTAGTTCAACCATGTATTTTTAGTAAATTTAAAACGGTCCCTAAATTCGTTGTCTATATTCTTCCAAAAGGTTCATTTCTAACGCAAAAATGGCGAACAACGTCTATAATTTCTAATGTTTATTTATAGAAGAATTCGAAGAGTTTAAACAATATATTTCAAGTTTATTTATTTTCCTGATATTTATAAGAAATGTCAAATTATGTCAGATAGCAGACATGTGTCAGGTACTTATCGAATAGATATCTCACTAAAGTGGCAAGATATCTATTCGTTAACTTATAGAACGAATAACTCTTGTCGTTTGTTTCAGTAATCAAATTTCTCTAGTTATCCCTTTGTTAAGCCTTTTAAACACATATCTACTATTTTAATAACGGGCCATGAGTGTAGTAAATATCAGTTTACCGCATGACGTCCTTTAAAACTACGCAAAAATTTAAGATAAAACGGAAAAACAAATAAGTATTAAAATCAAACAATGTTTAAAACTCTCAGCCGGTTGCAAAAACATTCATTACAATTTATGATTCCTATAAATTTTGATAGAGCTTGAGAGTTTCAAATTACGCAATCTAGGTTGTATTAAGTTAACGGTCAAGTTCCAATTTTTTAAATTCATGATCAGCAGACTAAGAAGTACAAGACCAGCCACAGGCACCTGTTTTTACCATACGGTCTTTATAACCTTTTTAAAAAACTGTAAATTAATTCCCAAATAGATGATTTCAACCACATACTTTGATTTTCTTTTACTATACGGAGAATGGTCGCACTGCGCAGCTTTCTGAGTGCCTTTTAAAAGGAGATAGAAAACTCCGCCATTTTGAACCCTTATTACGTGTTGCCTACATCTTGGCGCAATATTTTTAATAGATGCTTTAATCTGACAGGTTAAAACGACTAAACCGACAATTCCGGAAGCAGAAGCGAATGATTAAAACGCACCTGATATTTTGCTTACTGCTGTCAGTGTCAGTGAATATTATTTTTGAAGTCACAGCTTATTGCTAAAGAATCAGTTAGCTCACTCGGACCAGTTGAAAGTTCCAAAATAACATCCACTCCAGGGATACAAATTCAGGATACGCAGAAGACTGCTGTTTTATTATAGGCGGTTGTCATATATTGTATTATCCGAGTTGCACAGTGTATAAACTGAAACATTGAGATCCAAAGTACCGACGCAGAGTGAGCGATCTGATTCTTTAGCTGTAAACTATGTCACAGGGTTCAAAATGGCCGCGCCCTATGTTGGGCGTGTCGGACCTCTCTCTTGCCTCGTATAGTAATCAAAGTATGTGATTTCAACGGAAGACATCTTGAAGTTGCAAGGTCATTGGAAGATCTTTGCGCCATCTATAAGTTTACATAACAACTAATACAATAAAAAAGAAAACTGTAAATTATTATTTTGGCAATCTGTTTAAGGCACATACTTTGATTACTATACGAGGCAAGAGAGAGGTCCGACACGCCCAACATAGGGCGCGGCCATTTTGAACCCTGTGACACAGTTTACAGCCAAAGAATCAGATCGCTCACTCTGCGTCGGCACTTTGGATCTCAATGTTTCAGTTTATACACTGTGCAACTCGGATAATACAATATATGACAGCCGCCTATAATAAAACAGCAGTCTTCTGCGTATCCTGAATTTGTATCCCTGGAGTAGACGTTATTTTGGAACTTTCAACTGGTCCGAGTGAGCTAACTGATTCTTTAGCAATAAACTGTGACTTCAAAAATAATATTCACTGACACTGACAGCAGCAAGCAAAATTTCAGGTGCGTTTTAATCATCCGCTTCTGCTTCCGGAATTGTCGGTTTAGTCGTTTTAACCCACATACTTTGATTACTATACGAGGCAAGAGAGAGGTCCGACACGCCCAACATAGGGCGCGGCCATTTTGAACCCTGTGACACAGTTTACAGCTAAAGAATCAGATCGCTCACTCTGCGTCGGCACTTTGGATCTCAATGTTTCAGTTTATACACTGTGCAACTCGGATAATACAATATATGACAACCGCCTATAATAAAACAGCAGTCTTCTGCGTATCCTGAATTTGTATCCCTGGAGTGGATGTTATTTTGGAACTTTCAACTGGTCCGAGTGAGCTAACTGATTCTTTAGCAATAAACTGTAACTTCAAAAATAATATTCACTGACACTGACAGCAGCAAGCAAAATATCAGGTTCGTTTTAATCATCCGCTTCTGCTTCCGGAATTGTCGGTTTAGTCGTTTTAACTTGTCAGATTAAAACAAGAAAACTGACAATTCCGAAGCAGTAGCGGATGATTAAAACGCACCTATTAAAAATATTGCGCCAAGATGTAGGCAACACGTAATAAGGGTTCAAAATGGCGGAGTTTTCTATCTCCTTTTAAAAGGCACTCAGAAAGCTGCGCAGTGCGACCATTCTCCGTATAGTAAAAGAAAATCAAAGTATGTGGTTTAAGGTTACGGCGTCGGTATTAAATTTTTCTTTCTTTGTCTTCTTCATAGTTGTATGTGTATGTGGTCTTAAACCTAAAATAAAACCATTAGATATCAAATTTTATCAGTCGTATACAAGGTTTGTCAAAAATAAAGGTACTTAATTAGGTCCGTATTTATAAACAGAACTTACCTGAGTCGGACTTGGGTAAGTCGTCCTTGAACTAAAATCGAAGTTCGGTTACAACGTCTCTAAAGTTCTAGGTGGTTTGGTGTTAAACTGGAATTTAGAGATAGATATTAGCAAATCTGTAGCTGTTATGTACATTTACGGATTTGTTACTACCCATCTCTAAATTCACGCGATATAACCGAACTTCGATTTTAGTTCAAGGACGACTTACCCAAGTCCGACTCAGGTAAGTTCTATTTATAAATACGGACCCTAGATTCCAGAACTTGGCGATAGTGAGAGTGAAAACTGAGCCCATACAACTAAAGAAGGGAGGAAAAAAAGAAGAAATTTATGTTGACGCCGCCTTAACTTTGGACAGATTGCCAAAATAATAATTCAGTTTTCTTTTTTATTTTATTAGTTGTTATGTAAACTTATAGATGGCACAAGGATCTTCCAATGACCTTGCAACTTCAAGATGTCTTCCGTTGAAATCATCTATTGGTGCATTGTGTTTAATAATATAGTTGCATATCTATATTTTGAATTAAAAAATATTATAAATATGGGCCATCCTTGAGGTTTGACAACATGTTAAATCTTAAAACACTCAACTCAATGATATTAAATAGCAATAAATAGCAATAATAACTGACAATTGACCATTCAGTAGACAGTTTTAACCACATACTTTGATTACTATACGAGGCAAGAAAGAGGTCCGACACGCCCAACATAGGGCGCGGCCATTTTGAACCCTGTGACACAGTTTACAGCTAAAGAATCAGATCTGCGTCGGCACTTTGGATCTCAATGTTTCAGTTTATACACTGTGCAACCCGGATAATACAATATATGATAACCGCCTATAATAAAACAGCAGTCTTCTGCGTATCCTGAATTTGTATCCCTGGAGTGGATGTTATTTTGGAACTTTCAACTGGTCCGAGTGAGCTAACTGATTCTTTAGCAATAAACTGTGACTTCAAAAATAATATTCACTGACACTGACAGCAGCAAGCAAAATATCAGGTGCGTTTTAATCATCCGCTTCTGCTTCCGGAATTGTCGGTTTAGTCGTTTTAACCTGTCAGATTAAAACAAGAAAACCGACAATTCCGAAGCAGAAGCGGATGATTAAAACGCACCTATTAAAAATATTGCGCCAAGATGTAGGCAACACGTAATAAGGGTTCAAAATGGCGGAGTTTTCTTATCTCCTTTTAAAAGGCATTCTCCGTATAGTAAAAGAAAATCAAAGTATGTGGTTTTAACAGATAAAATTTCTCGACCGTTCTGACTGACCCTGACCGATCAGCTGATTAGTCCTGACTGGTCATGATGGTCGATTTTCTTTTTCACCAGATGATTTTGACCGGTTACCCACCCCTAATAAAGTTATGAAGAGTTTTAAGAGTTTCTTGAGGTACTTGACCGAAATCAGTGGAAAATTCACTAAAAAATGTCCCGGTAGAAGTTAAGAGCAATCTGCAACCACATATTCTTCAATTTGGAACATTTTTTAACCCTACTATCTGTAATCTGTAACGTGCGGAGAGTGGGTTACCTCCCACGGCAGTTAGGCCTCACTAGGCCCATTGTGCATCCTCCTAAGATGATAGGCACCTCCTAGCTCGTTAGCCAGCCCATAGATTTAATGTAGTTGACAACATCACCAAGAGGTGCTTCTCTTAGATCGGTCGGTGTTAGCCGATATTCACCGAACACAAATATTCTAATAAATGAGAGAGTCGAGCAGTCGTAAAGGATATGCTCGATGGTTTCTTCTTCTTGTTCGCACCCTCCGCAGAGTTCGGATTCTGACAGCCCCCTGATATGGAGATGCTTCCGTACTTGGCAATGACCAAGCGCAGATTCTGTCTAGTCATAGTCAAGCATTTGTTTGCTGCAGTGTTGTCCGGATAACTTAAGAGCTTCCTGGCAACTTTGCAGTTTCTTGTTTCATTCCATCTTTTCTTGAATTTTACAAGGAACTAGTCTTTAATTAGGTCTGTCACTACCGATTTTGTGAGACCATTAGAAGGGCGAGATTCAAAAAGTATTTGGTTGGCTGTTTTCTTGGCTAGTGAATCAGCAAGACAGTTACCTTTCGATGTGGCGTGACTTTTAATCCATCTTAAGGTGACCACATTGTTGGTGGATACTTCGGCCAAAGTTTCGTGACACTCTAGTACTAACCCTGAGTAAATTCCTGGTCTGTTCAGGATGAGTAATGCTTGTCTGCTAACTGTAAAGGTGAGCATGTTCCTTCCAGTGATATTGTTTCTGGTGATTTCTTTTGCTGCTATGAGAATCCCGTTAGCTTTGTTTGAACTACACTGGCACTATTGCTCACAGCCCCTTTTATATTTAGGTTTAAGAATCTGGAGTATATTCCACATCCTGAGCCTTGTTTTGTTTTAGAACCATCGGTGTAGATATGAATCGTACCTGCCACTTCCTGCTCTTCTATTTGTTCTGTTATAACTTTATATGGCTTATGGAAGATGTATATCGATGAGATGGAGTCCATGTTCACTTAAAGCAGTGGGAGCGTATGGAGCGCCTCCTGCCAAAAACGACGTCTCGCCTCATCAGTCTATTCCAACCGTGCGGATACGTGTCATTGTCGTGAGAGCAACCTTCTTGGTGTAAATATCTAGAGGAGTGAGACTAAGAATTACTTCCATGGCTCTGGTCGGTGTTGTTTTCATGGCTCCTGTTATGTTGAGACATGCTGTTTTTTAAATTTGTTCTAGTTTACGGATAGCTGTTTAATTTTTGGGATTGCGGTACCCAGACAAGTGCACCGTATGTTAGGCATAAGTCTTATGATAGCCTACTAGATATTTGACATTTTGTTCTGACACCTCTTATAAAATTGGTTGTGGAATTTGATAATTTACTAAAGCAGAGTATGTGATTGGGTATTTTGCCTATTATATTGATTCTAAGAATATTTAAAAAGTAAATTTTCTATAAAATAAGAACGATAATAACTCTGACTGAATAGCAACAATTTGTTCCTGCTGTATCTATGTGTTGTTATTATGGTCAATAGTTATTATTAATGTCTATACCAAGCCTTATTTAATGAAAGTCTAATAAAGAAACTGTGGCATCTTTTCAGTTTGTAGGTATCAACATTTTGTACCGGTCTCTTAATGTCAACTACAGGCCGAATTTTAGTATATTTAGCATATTGTTTTAATAAAAATATCATGGATTTTAAGAATTTTAATCACGGGGTGGAGAGACATGCCTCCCCCCCCCTCCTGGAGTCGCCCTTGTCTATTGATAGTATTTATTTATGTTATTCCCCTCTCCTACTCTAGTTTGTTCCTATTATGGCTTAATAGAAGCTTGATGAATTTTGGACCATTTATAAATTAGTTGTCATGACTTTGTCTTGGTGAGATATTCCACCATTGTGAGATTTTTGACGGTTGTCATTGTATACGGTTGATTTTACAGTTTTTCTTAAAAACCACCTGTATATGATTCATTCTCATATCCTTCTGTCTTTTCAGGATTGACATCCATTTTCTTTCCGAGCTTATTTCTTTCATTCTTGTCTAATCCTAGCTGGGGTCTTCATATCGTATCAAAGTTTTCCCCTTATGAATTTCCTCCTGGACTTTTTTATTTTCCTTTTTCTTAATTTTACTATTTCTGTTACGTTTTTCGCAATTCTTTCTTTATTTTTGTGGAGGGAAATTCCTCATGGACCACAGGTACTTGGTTCAATCGCGCCTAAGAGTGTGGGGCTTCGGCTTTTAGGTGCATTGCCGGTTTACCCACGAACACCCGTCCTTTTCAACCACAGCATCCTGATGTCATCTTCTAAGATATTCATTTCGATGTGCTGGGTAGTCTTTAAGTTTGCATTTTCCTACTGCAAGTTTCTTTGGATATCTTTCTAGTGTCTGTTTAATGTTGTGCTATTTGGTCCGCTCTTTCGTCCTCCCCTTTCCTACTCAGTATTTCCTTTGCAAGTCTCCTTATCGCATTTCACGCCGCCTTAGAGACCATATTATTTCGCCCATTTATGTTTTATTTAGAGCTGCACGTTGTCTGTATCTCTATTTTCCATTTGTGGCAGGAAAAAATAGTATGCACTGGAGTGTATGCGGCCTTGCATTACAGGCAGGTGTCTTTCTCTGTCTTGCCTATTGTCTTTGTGAACGATTGGCACCCGTTCTCTTCCTGGATCCATTTTTTCAATCTTTTCTATTTCTAGCTAGGTCTTCATCTCTATCAAAATTTTCCCCTTATCAATTCCGATCTCTTCAATTTTGTCAATCTATTTTCTCCTGAGCTTTCTCAGTACCTTTTTCTTGATTTATTTTTCTAATTTTCTCGCTATTGTTTGGTTTCATCTTTACTAGGTGGCCCTACCAGTTTAATTATTTCATTTTGTTCTTCGTCATTATTGGTTCCTGTTTCTTACTCTGTCACATTTAGTTTTCCGCACTATTTTCTCAAATATTTCATTTCCATTGCATTTATGTTTGGCTCATGTTTTCTTCTATGGTACCCAGTTTTTGCTATCATAAGTTACCGATGTTACTGTAGTAAGATTGTGAATTTTAATTTTTGTATTTGTATTAATATACTTCCTTGGTTGTTACTCTATCTAGAAAAGGACGTTTTCTAATCCCTCGATAATAATGAATTTCTTTTAACCTCGGCATGTAATGATTTTTTTTTTGTTTCAGTACGATATGAATCAGTGGCAAGAAGTTTGAGCAAAAGTGGAAAAGATTGCGAACGACTGGAATGCGCTCAAGTATGCGAATACGGTTTTAAAGTAGACGAAGACGGTTGTCATACGTGCAAATGCGACGATCCATGTGACGGATTCATGTGTCCAGAAGACGAGGAATGCGTCAACGTCAAAGAATCTTCTTGTTCAGACTTCTTGTGTCCGTCTGTACCAGTGTGTAAGTAAACAATTTATGTTATATTGGAACTGCTTAAACATAATATACTTGGCAACATTGCATCTATGTACAAGTGATTGTTATCGATAACAGCTGTCACCTGTCAATATAATAAAACTATTACTGTACTTTTATTATTTTTTTTTTTTTTCATTCTATTAGGTACTGTTTTTTCATATATTAACATTAAATTTTTATAAAGTAAAAATATATTTACCTGTATAACAGTAAACTTATAATATTTATAGTTTCTCTTTATTGTTCTATGCCTAAATGCCGTAAATGATAGAAATGACAGGTGACAATGTTAGGAAGGTTGCAGTACTGCTTCAAAAGTACTAGAACTATTAACAAAATAATAAAACTTTGAATTCCTTTCTTGATTTTCTTATAATAAAGAATGAATTTAAAGCGTATGTTTTTTGTTTAACTAATTTATTATCGATTTTATCATTTTATAGGTCGCCCAAAAGCAGTTTACGCTAATCCCTGTGAAACCGGAACCCCATTGACAGATGATCTTAGAGGCGCTCCAGTAGCATGCGCACTTCGTTCTGAGAACGGCATCGTGTGTCCTTCTTCTTACGAATGTACCGCTGTTGCCGGATCTACTCAAGCCGTGTGCTGCCCTCTTCCTACTGACGAACTCCAAACCGAGGCTTCTGAGGACTACAATCAATTGGATATGAGACCACAAACCAGTAAGTTATATACAGTTATTTATCGAAAAAAAAATCTATTAAAAAAAATCAAAAATTTAAAATAAGAAAATATAGATATACAGTGTATGTCATAAAGTTGGATCCATATGGGATTTTTTTTGATATGTCGATTGGAAAAAAAACGTAGGGCAATGACATCTGCATAATTAAAAACTTAAAATTGCCTATATCAAAGTTGCCTGTGTCAAAAACGTTTGAACGATTTTCCAAAAAAAAAAAAAAGAAACGCATTTGACAGATAAATGTAGTACCTAGCTAACTTTAATATAAACTGTTTTAATTTTTTTTAAAAAGCAGAAATAAATGCCCTACGACTTTTTTTTAATAGTAATATTAAAAAATCCCATATATATCCAACTTTATGAAACACACTATATAAATTAAATTTTTTATAAATAGTTTCCAAAACATTTAGGTATATTGCTTTTTTTCTCTATTTTTCTTCTAAATCACACATGACTCCTCAGTAATTTTTTATTACATTTTTTTTTTTATTTTTAATAATTTTTTTTATCAACTTTTTTATCAAATTTTTTAAATATTTTATAAAATATTTCATTAATTTGTTATCAATTTTTTTATTAATTTTTTTAACAAATTTATTTATCCAATTTTTGAGTCAAATTTTTTGTCAATTTTTTTGTCAATTTTTTTTTTCAAATGTATCAATTTTTTTATTAAATTTATATAATTTTTTATTAAATTTTTTTATTAAATTTATATAATTTTTTTATTAAATGTTTTATCAAATTTTATCAATTTTTTTTTAAATGTTTATCAAATTTGTATCAATTTTTGTGTCAAATTTTTTATCAAATTTTTTATTAAATTTTTTTATTAATTTTTTTCTAACGTTAATAATTTTCCAAAGAACCCTGAAATTTCTCAGGAAATGATCTAGCATTTATATTTTTTTAGTGTGCGAGTACCTTCACGAGTTTTCAGAAAGCATGGAAGGTACACGAGAAGGAATGTCTTTAGCTTTACCGACACCAGAATGCGATTCGAATGGCAACTACGTTGCAATGCAATGTAATAGTATCAAAAATGAATGTTGGTGCGTGGATAACTTCGGTACAGAAATTCCAAAAACTAAAGGCAAAGGAGCGTCATCCAAAAACTGCACTGAGCTGAGAGAAACATTGGACTGTTTAGATCTGACTTGCAGAATGGGATGCGAATATGGATTTATCCTAGATGAAGACACTAGCTGTCCTCAATGTACTTGTAGAGATCCATGCACTGGAATTAGTTGTAATGAAGATGAACAATGTCAGTTAGTCGAAGTGAGCTGTAAGGATCATTACTGTCCACCAGTACCTGCATGTATGTGCCTCAATTTCGTTTTATGAACAGTAGAAACTTAACTTATTGTTTTTAGGTTTACCCAAGAAAACTGGCCAATGTCCTTATTTAGTACCAGCGTCTACAACATCTTGCGATTTTGAATGCAACTCAGATATGGCATGCAACGGTACCACTAGATGTTGTTCTAATGGTTGCGGTACCCAATGCATAGAGCCCCTTCTTCTTACAGGTATGTTCATTTGTTTAAATCATAAAAGCGGGGATCCATTAGATTCTTTGACGAATTTATATCAAATACATTTTCATCCGGGAGGTGCTACTATTGGCTAAAGATATAATTAAAGTAAACAGTTACAGAAATCTGTAGTTGTCTATATAGATCTATACGGCTGTTAAAAACACAAGGCATTTTTAACAGTAAATTAGTACCGAGTACCATAGGGTCCAGATATGAGTCACTCATGACTCAAGAAAAAGTATATGAAACTGGATGTTGCTTGGCGCGCATTTGCGAAGAAATCAAGTAGGTACTATTACGTCAAACGACAATAACATGCCAATAAAATATCGTACGTGCAACTACAAACCACTTCATGTGTCAAGAAATTTATTTATATAACCTTCATCAAGAAATTAAGTAGATCTACAAGACTTAAAAATCAAACTAGTTGAAATCTTGGTTGAACTAACTGAGCAAAATTAAGATCAGCAGCCATGTTTTGTAGAAAATAGCACTTTTATGCGATTTTAGATGCCATTCCAAGGAAAATTACATAAATTTCTAAATCTAGAATAAAGTACTGTTGAACAACACTGTTTAAATTTTATAACATATTTTTTAAATTTAAACAGCATTTCCTAAACCGCCCCTGGGTTCAAGCTCCAATACAATATTACAAACGCAAAATATTTTCTGCAAACATGATAAATGTCACGTACGTATCGAATCTAGAACATTTTAGTATATACCCTATCACTTGCATCGCATCAGATCTGTTATCTGTCTCTCCCACTCGATAGAATTAAAAAATAGTTTATAACAAAATCGCACTTGATGATATAATTCTCGTTAGTTGAACAAGTCCATTCTGCAAATTAAGGCGAGTACAGCGCCCTTTCACACACAGAAACTAACGATTTACCTAGTAGCATAATTCTTTCTCTCGCCACACTGGTCACTCCAGTTTCAAACTTCGAACAGTCAGTATGCCTTTGAAGTCGTCTATTATCATCCTCGACACACACTCTTCTTTTGCTATTTGGCCAACTAACTTCGTTTAACATAAAAAGTAAAGAAAATGTAACCCACGGGGTAATCTTTCCTACCGGCTTTACAAACCATAACTACTAGCATGAAGATTTAAGTTACTTACGAGCAAGTGAAACGGTCATTTTTAAAGTAGTGTAAATATGTTTATAATTGTGCAATCGTTTTGTTTTTAATGTAACGTTTATTAGTCTTTGATTTCATGCACAACACGTTCTTTTATACCGCCTTTAGGCGATGAATACCCAGGAGACTTATTCTTAAATTGTTTACCTTTGAGATGAAATAAAATGGGATTATTTTAAATTATTCTTCCTCTGGTAAATCGTCTGTTATTTTATTGTGAAGGTCACAGTTTATTTTAGCAGAAAAATATAATTATATTTTTATTAGCTTTGTCCAAAATTTAATTATTTACAAATTGAATTTTAAAATAATCAATGACTTATTTAGTTTTTTAAGAATCTATAAAAGTTTTGAATTAAATATAGTTTCTTCTAAAAACTCGTTTGATGTGATACTTGTTTTAATATTAGGAGGATCTTCATCGATATATTCAATAAGAGGGTCTTTATCTGTTTCTACGTTAGTCGTATCATTATTATGATAAATTTTAGTTTGTAGATTAGAACATTGATCAAAATATAACATATATACTATACACATATGGTCTTAACACACCCTGGGGTACTAATAATTAATAATTAATTGTAGGATGTCAGCATCAAAAAGCACTTGCGCAACACCAAGCTCACGAATCTGGAATCCCAGCTGGAAAAGTATACATACCGACGTGCAAAGAAGACGGTTCTTACGACAAGAAACAATGTAATCCAGGTACAGGCGAATGTTGGTGCGTAGACATATTCGGTTTCGAGGTATCCAAAACTCGCACCAAATCCACGAACTCGTTCACTTGCGAAGTAGATTCGCCGAAGACCAACGAATGTCCTCTGTATAAATGCGCCGCAAACTGCGAGCACGGTTACGAGCTGGATGAAAATGGCTGCAGGACTTGCACATGCGTAGACCCATGTTCGAAGATCACCTGTAGAGGCGAAGGGGAGACCTGCAGATTGGTGAGCGTGGAATGCGTGAGCTGGCCTTGTCCGTCGGTGCCGATGTGCCTTCCGAAGAAAGAAAATCCCTGTCAAAATGGCGAACCTTTGAAATTGGGCAGCACGGATGAGTTGGTGACTTGCGGTCCGGATTACGAAAATTGTCCTTCGTCTCATAAATGTCAGTTGAGTCCGGTTGGGGAGTACGCGGTTTGTTGTCCGAAGCCAAGTAAGTACCAATATTTAATTAACATTTAGATAAACTAGGTGTGGAAACTGATGCTAAATGAAGATATGTAACGTGATGAATCATCGCAATATAATTTTTCTCGCATATCGTACCGAAAACGACTAAACTGTTTTCTGTCGATAAATAATGAGCACATGTGTTCAAAATCCACCTATTTTTTTCAACTTTAGAGCTTTCAGGTCGTTACGATTAATTTCTGTTTCTTCCTCGAGTTCTTATATTGTATCTTCCTTGGAAGCAGATGTTGTTTTGATCTCTTTTTCTTCTCCTGGTTCTGCTGAAAATTCTAAACATGGCTTTGGTAAATTGAGCTCATGGTAAGGATAAATTATTTGAAATATTGTTCGGTTCTATTATTTTCTTTACGTGAGAAACATGGGTTTCATTATTTTTTCCATCTCTCCATAATGTAACCTTGTTTTTTATCTTTGTAAAACTTCAGACTCATTTTTATTAAATTTAGGCATGAGTTTATGTGATAATGAAGTCTGTACTTACTACTACTTTATCTCCTTGTTCAATGTTTGTATGTTTCGCTTTCCTCGCCTTATGTCTATTTATCATGTTATTATCATGAGATTCTTTATTAACTTCTCCCAGAATGTTTTTTTTTATATTTTAATTAATAGTAACTCCGAGGTAATTTTACGGTGTTTCGTTTAGAAGTGGGCAAAATAATCGATTATCGATTTGTAAAAAAAAATTATTCCATTAATCGATTATTTTAAATTAATCGATTATTGAATTGATTAAGAACTACTAATTCTTACTTTGTCAGATTCATAATAAATTCTAAATTCTTACCGCAAACGCAACCTCTATTATATCTCGATATTCGAGGTAGGAGTAGGCAAAATAATCGATTTTTTTTTAATCGATAATCTATTGGTCGAATAATTTTTTTTAAAAATCGATAAATTATTAATCGACTTATTTTTTTATGAAAAATCGAATGTTTCGATTATTTCGACTATTTCGATTATTTCGATTATTTCGATTATTTCGATTATTTCGATTATTTCGATTATTTCGATTATTTCGATTATTTCGATTATTTCGATTATTTCGATTATTTCGATTATTTCGATTATTTCGATTATTTCGATTATTTCGATTATTTCGATTATTTCGATTATTTCGATTATTTCGATTATTTCGATTATTTCGATTATTTCGATTATTTCGATTATTTCGATTATTTCGATTATTTCGATTATTTCGATTATTTCGATTATTTCGATTATTTCGATTATTTCGATTATTTCGATTATTTCGATTATTTCGATTATTTCGATTATTTCGATTATTTCGATTATTTCGATTATTTTGATTATTTCGATTATTTCGATTATTTCGATTATTTCTATTATTTCGATTATTTCGATTATTTCGATTATTTCGATTATTTCGATTATTTCGATTATTTCGATTATTTCGATTATTTCGATTATTTCGATTATTTCGATTATTTCGATTATTTCGATTATTTCGATTATTTCGATTATTTCGATTATTTCGATTATTTCGATTATTTCGATTATTTCGATTATTTCGATTATTTCGAATATTTCGATTATTTCGATTATTTCGATTATTTCGATTATTTCGATTATTTCGATTATTTCGATTATTTCGATTATTTCGATTATTTCGATTATTTCGATTATTTCGATTATTTCGATTATTTCGATTATTTCGATTATTTCGATTATTTCGATTATTTCGATTATTTCGATTATTTCGATTATTTCGATTATTTCGATTATTTCGATTATTTCGATTATTTCGATTATTTCGATTATTTCGATTATTTCGATTATTTCGATTATTTCGATTATTTCGATTATTTCGATTATTTCGATTATTTCGATTATTTCGATTATTTCGATTATTTCGATTATTTCGATTATTTCGATTATTTCGATTATTTCGATTATTTCGATTATTTCGATTATTTCGATTATTTCGATTATTTCGATTATTTCGATTATTTCGATTATTTCGAATATTTCGATTAATTCGATTATTTTGTATAAATCCTTTTTTTATTAATTCGATTATTTTGCATAAATCCATTTTTGAATTATCTCTTATTTTCGATTAATCGATTATTTCCAATTAATATATTATTTTCGATTAATCGATTATTTTCGATTAATCGTTTATTTTCGATTAATCGATTATTTTAGATTATTCAATTATTTGCGATTAGTCGATTATTTTCGATTATTCGATTATTTTCGATTAGTCGATTATTTTGTGTATTTTAGATTAATAGATTATTTTCGGTTAGTCGATTATATTCGATTTATCTATTAATCTATTATTTTGATTAATCGATCATTTTTAATAATCGAATATTTTCGATTAATCCAATCTAATATTTGAAAATAATCGATTATTTTAAATAATCGATAATCTATTCTTTATTTTGATAATCGCTCAAGTTACGTTATACATTAACAGAAATGTTTGTATTTCATTTATATGACAAATCTATCTAAAGTAAAGAAAAATATAATCTGAAATCCATTATTATAAGTGACTCTGGAAAATATTTACCCCTTTGGCTAATATCAAAACAGGCATAGAATTATATCCAAAGAAAAAAGCAGAAAAAAAATTATTTTCAACACTTTAATTTTGATTTTGATAAACTAAGAAAAACGTTATTCTTGTCTTTATTAGAGCTCGTCAGCAAGAAACAGACATTCTCTAATACAATCTCTAATATGGCACTTTGAAACTGGCAAATGTTTGTTGTGGTATTAGCCAAAATAGTAGTTGTTTTCCAGAGGGAAATGGTAACTCTTAATATTCTGTAACACATGGCTTTAAGATTGTATTGTGTTACTTTATTTTATATGTTAGTTGGTCACATTTGAATTTGTAATTATTTTCTTTTTTAATAACTATCTTGTTAATTTTGGAGTACTTTATGTTCGACGGCTTATTGGTGACATAAGGAATGTTTTGTTTTAAAAGAATCAACATTTTTTGAGAAGAAAAATGTCAAAATTTTGAGAAATATAATCAAAATTTTGAGAAAATAAACTCACTCTGTTGAGAAAAATAAAGTCAATATTTCGGAAAAAATTATAGATTTTTAAAAACATAGTAAAAGATTTTGTAAAAAAATTCAAAATGCTGTGAAAATAAATCAAATTTTTAAGAAAAAAGTATATTTTTTTTAATAACTGATGCACTCTTTGATTCAAACAAAAACTGTTAAAATTTATTTATACACAAAATAAATTAAAGAATATTTATACAGATAATGGGAATAAATTAATTAACTGTGCCTTTTCGTTTGTTTCAGGAGACGTTTGTTTCGAACCGCTGGATTCCGGAAAATGCCTGGATCCATCCGAAAGCAGAAATCTAACGAGATTCTATTTCAATTCCAAAACCAACAAATGCGACCAATTTATTTTCAGCGGATGCCAAGGAAACCACAACAATTTCCATACGGAAAATATGTGTAATATTGTTTGTCCAGGTAAGCGATCTGACAAAAAAATCATGTACAAATTTATCCTACTTTATTATTGAAAACCAAAAAAAGAAAAAACATAATGATAACGGCATTTTAAAATATTCAGCAAAAGATTTAAGAAAATCTCTTCATTTTGTAAATAATCGATTACAAGTGCCAATAATTTTTGTTTGTGTATTTTTATGTAACGTTAAATTTTACTTTTTAACCGAATTCAATAAAGAAGGGGGTTCAATTATTTTTTGTATTTGTTATAAATAAATTACTTTCTATCGATGATGACAATTATTGACGAAATGTTTAAAAACAGTTATGCAGTAATTTGTAGAAGAAAGTAATGTGTAATCTAAAGTAAAATCTAAAATAATAACATAATATATATTTATATTATCCTATCAACGCGGCGTCCAGTTGCAAGGTTACTTTAAAATAAGGTAAACCTTTTATTTACAGCTACGATACTCCCCCTTTCAAAATTAATTAGAAATAGATTAAATTAAAAAGAACAAGTCTAATAGTTGTCGATTAATATATCGATTAATATATATTTTTATTTTCACAATTCAGTCCCAATTGAGTTGTTTTTTAGTTTTGTTTGTTGTAACTACGTAATAATTCGCATTTTTTTTTTTGTCTTTCAAACTCATCGTTTTCCAGTTTTAACACAATGCGAACGTCTTAGAGAAAAGAACCAAAAAGCCGCTGAAATGTACAAGAAACCAACGTTCACGCCCAGATGCGAACCAAACACCGGAGCGTGGCAAGCGATTCAATGTTTGGAACACGTCGGAGTGTGTTGGTGCGTTACGCCACAAGGAGAACCGCTGAAAGGTACTCTCACCAGAGGTGCGGAACCAGAATGTAATTTCCGACAAGCGAGACATTGGGCATCTGACCGGTCCGATTTTAATACAGATTCTTATCTAGGTATGTATTTAATTTACTTATACTTTACAGTTCATTTCAAATATTTTTGACAGTTCATTTCAGTTACTTTTAGCAGTTCATTTTAGTTATTTTGACTGTTCATTTCAGTTATTTTTGGCAGTTCATTTTAGTTAATTTTGACAGTTTATTTTAGTTATTTTTGACAATTACTTTCAGTTATTTTTGACAGATAATTTCAATCATTTATGACCGTTAATTTCAGTTATTTTTGACAATTTATTTCAAATATTTTTGACAGTTCAAATAAGTTATTATTGAGAGTTAATTTCAATTATTTTTTACAGTTAATTTCAAATATTTTTACAGTTAATTTCAATTATTTTGACAGTTAATTTTAATTATTTTTGATAGTTAATTTCAATATTTTTGACACTTAATTTCAATATTTTTGACGCTTTATTTTAATTATTTTTGGCAGTTCATTTTAGTTATATTTGACAGTTTATTTTAGTTATTATTGAAAGTTAATTTAAATTATTTTTTACAGTTGGTTCTAAATATTTTTTAAAGGTAATTCCAATTATTTTGACAGTTAATTTTAATTATTTTTGACAGTTAATTTCAATATTTTTGACACTTAATTTCAATATTTTTGACGCTCCATTTTTGGCAGTTCATTTTAGTTATGTTTGTCAGTTCATTTTAGTTTTTTTGACAGTTACTTACAGTTATTTTTGGCAGATCATTTCAATCTTTTTTGACAGTTAATTTCAGTTATTTTTTGACAGTTCATTTCAACTATTTTTGATGGTCATTTCAGTTCTTTTTTACAGTTCATTTCAATTATTTTTGACAGTTCAAGTAAGTTATTATTGAGAGTTAATTTCAATTACTTTTGACGCTGATTTTAATTGTTACAGTTAATTTCAAATATTTTTTAAAGTCAATTTCAATTGTTTTTGACACTTAATTTTGATTATGTTTGACAGTTAATTTCAAATATTTTTGATGCTTTATTTTAATTATTTTTGGAAGTTCATTTTAGTTATTTTTGACAGTTAATTTCAATTTAAAAAAATAAAATAAAACTAAAAAAATGTATTTATTGTCCAACAGGAAAAACCCAATTACAGGACAAACTATACAGTTTGTTAATATTTGACTTAATTAGCCTAACTTAACATAATATTAACAATTATATGAATATTATTAACACTAACAAAAATAATTGTAATGTTATTTTAATATTTTATTTTTTATTGAGTACCTTATTCTCATCTAACCTTTGTTTTAATTTATATTTTAAATGAATGCATAATAATAAATTAGCATCATAATAATAACAACAATAATACTAACAATAAATAATGATAATAACAGTGATAATAACAACACTATTACATTTATTATTGTCGCTGACACAAATTTTGGTAAATATTTCTTTTGAATGATGCTAAAGAATCAAATTAAATGTCATTCAGTGTACAAAATTCATTATAATTTGAGCAAATTAATGTTCATTTCAGTTATTTTGTACAGTTAATTTCAATTATTTTGACAGTTCATTTCAATTATTTTTACGGTCAATTCAATTATTTTTTACAGTATTTCAATTATTTTCGACAGTTTACAAAATTATTTTTGAGAGTTCATTTCAGCTATTTTTGACAGTTCATTTCAGTTATTTTAAGCAGTTCATTTTAGTTATTTTTGACAGTTCACTTTAGTTATTTTTGACAGTTCACTTCAGTTATGTTTGGCAGTTAATTTTAGTTATTTTTGACAGTTCATTTTAGTTATTTTTGACAGTTCATTTTAGTTATTTTTGACACTTACTTTTAGTTATTTTGGACAGACATTTCAATCATTTTTAACAGGTAATTTCAGTTATTTTTAACAGTTCATTTTAACTATTTTTTATGGTCATCTCAATTATTTTTTACATTTCATTTCAATTATTTTTGACAGTTAATTTCAAATATTTTTGACGGATTATTTCAATTATTTTTGACAGTTTATTTTCATGATTTTTGACGGTTCATTTCTATTTTATTTATCTTCTATGTGCAGTATTGGAAGAATTAATGATGCAAATCGGTTCGTTTGAAGACAGTGACGAGCCAGCAGATATGAAACTCGAAGAAGATATAACGAAGTGGGAAATACCGACGGTTAATAGATGCCAGTCACTCGGTGGTCAATGTGACGAAGAAGGAAAATTCTTGCCCACGCAATGCGAGGAAGAGACATGTTGGTGCGTGGATGAAGCGGGAAATCAATTGCCAAATACCAATACGTTCGTTAAAGGCGAGAAAACATGCAGTAAGTTAAATATATAGTTACTTAGTTCTAAAATTAGTACTTGATTTATTATCGTGACAAACAACCATAAGCGTATATCAATTAGTATTTTATAGGTGTTTATTACTAACTCTGATATTGAAAAACATAATTATTACGCTCCTATAAAACATCATATTTCGACTTTCAGTGACCACACCTATTGAAAAAGCAGACGTGACTCTCGGATTTAGAGGCGAATTCGATGACGTATCTGCAGTGCCGGTAGTAAATCAAATTACAAAAATCATTAGAAGCCTCAAAGGAAACCTAAACGAAGAAGGCATCAAAACGTCTATCACCACCGATACCCTTTATATCAATTTTTCGCTCATCGGCAGTAACAAAGTAGATGTAGCCTACAAACTAGAACAACTGGTAAGTATCAACGATTGATTTAGGTGTTATTTCAAAAATTAAAAAATAATAAACCTTGACAACGACTGCAATTAGGCATTCCAAGCAAAATGGTTGCCTGTGGGCATTGATATGGCAACCCTGTTGGATTTAACAGGGTCAATGATATAGATTGATCATCCATGTTCTTCAAAATTAGATATATAAGTTTTATAGATTTCTCAAAGCGGATCGTTTGCGAACGGCCATATTGCCTTTCAACTGTTCATTAATTTGAATTTGTTTAGCAAAAATGTGTTTTAAAACCGATTTCCAGCTTTTGAGTATTTAAAAAAAAATAATTGCCTACATTTTTACTTCAAGGCATAAGCTTATGTTTATTTCTAAAAACATGGGTGATCAATCTATATAACTGTCTATATCATTGATCCTATCAAACCCAATGAACTGGAGTGGGGTAGAATGCTTGTCAATAGGCTTGAGATGCGACTCTATGGGCGAAGACAGGTTATTTTTCATCTCACTCGGGAGAATTTATAGCAACCATTTTCTATTTCACTTTGTCTGATCCACCAGCTTGTGGATTGAACAATAACAATGATGAGAAATAAAAATGGCTGCGCCCATAGAGTCGCATCCTGTTCTGTTGATACAATATGCACATTGGCTTTCTACCCCTCTCCAGTTCATTGATCAAACCACCAGGCACACAGTGTTGCCATATTATAAAACATCATGTGCCTGTCATTTCAAACGAGCCGCCATTTTGTTTGGAATGCCTAATGCATAGTAAATATCAAAAATGTCAATGTCATTTCGTTTGACAACACCAAGCTTTTGTTTTTTGTTTACGACATCATCAGAATTGTCAAATTGATATGGCAGTTAAAAATTAATTTCATATTACCATCGACTTTGTTTTAACATCTATAAAAATAAAATGTTTTCATGTAAACATGAACTGTGTTCAGTAATCATAATGCTTGAATGAGGTATAAAGTTTCCTCATTAATTTTAAACTTTTATATCCATATCCATTGACTTTTCCTTTCAATACTTAATTATCTTTTTCAGGTTATGCAACAAAGACTACCAGGTCTGACAGCTGACATAACGAGATCGAGGATCACGCATAAATTGTTCGGTCAAGATGGTCACAATATGTCCGATAGGGTTATGGCTTTGGAACATCGAGAAATCGTTTCTCAATCGCCCGTATCGGTCTTAGTCCCGTATCACACGGCTTTGATTGTGATAGCAGCCGCCTCGACTTTCGTTATTTGCGTTTTAACGCTTTTGGTACTGTTGTATAGAAGAAAGGTAAGACAATTATTTTATAGTCGATCCAGGATTTACTTTTTCTTAAAAAAAGACGAGCTTGGTTATTTTGGGTTTATTATGCTTTAGAGCACGACTAATGTTTTTGGGTAGATTTAATATGGGTGAGTTTTTTATTGGTTTATTATGGGTTTAATTGGCTTTATTATGAGTTTAATTGGGTTTCTTATGGGTTTCTTATGGGTTTGATGTGGGCTGATTATGGGTTTATTATGTGCTTATTATGCCTAGAGCATGACTAACGTTTTTGGGTAGATTTAATATGGGTGAGTTTTTTATTGGTTTATTATGGGTTTAATTGGCTTTATTATGGGTTTAATTGGGTTTCTTATGGGTTTAGTTGGGTTTATTATAGGTTTAATGTGGGCTGATTTTGGGTTTATTATGTGCTTATTATGCTTAGAGCACGACTAACTTTTTTTTGATAGATTTAATATGGATGTGTTTTTATTGGTTTATTATGAGTTTAATTGAGTTTATTATGGGTTTACTTGGGTTTATTATGGGTTTAATGTGGGTTGATTGTGGGTTTATGTGCTTATTATGCTTAGAGTCCGACTAATTTTTTTTTGGATAGATTTAATATGGGTGGTTTTTTTATTGGTTTATTATGGGTTTCATTGGGTTTATTATGGGTTTAATTGGGTTTATTGGTTTAATTGAGTTTATTATGGGTTTGATTGGGTTTATTGTAGGTTTAATTAGGTTTGCTATGGGTTTATTATGTGTTTACTGCGGGTTGATTATGGGTTTATTTTGTGTTTACTATGCTTTTATTGTGAGTTTATTACGGGTTTAATTTGGGTTTATTATGGTTTTATTATAGATTTGATATGGGTTTAATATGGGTTTAATATGAGTTAAACAAATTTAAAATCCAATTGTAGAAATTTTTAATGAAAAATTGAGCATTTTCATGTCCTGTAACTATTTCAACTTTCCTAAAAATTCAATAAATAAAAATTGTCTCACTTGAGTTGCGGTAGTTCTGTAAATATTTGAAATAGACATCCATATCCTCCATCCCTACTTATGATATGAAAAAATAATAGGAAAACTACTAAAAAGTTAATAGCTAAAAATTACAAAATTGAAAATTCAAATTTGCCACTTATAGCGATTGTTTATTACATTAATGGATAGAATACGATATATTAGTGATGACGCAATTTGTGTTCAACTGAAAAATGACCGTATACTTTTTTAATTGTATATTATGAACGTGTCAATTTCAATGACAAAATTAGACATTCCAACGAACTGTCCAAAGTGCTGCCAGTTGACTTTGACAGGATCAATGATATATAATATAGATTGCCCAAACCGGCCCACATTACGAGCGTCCATCAGGCTCACAAGCAACCATTTTGTTTGGAATGCCAAATGGGTTGTTTCTGTTAAAATTAACTGTCATTGGTTATGATATAAAAATGGATTATATGGAATAAATGGCACTAACTAGTACATTTAACACAGGAAATATGTGACACGTTTCTCTTTATAATACGGGAGACTGTTGTAGCTTGAAACGTTTTTATAATACTTCCGTTCTGTAACCGTCATAAAAGTGGTTGCTGTAGGGTAATATTTTTTATAGAAGTACATTAATAACTCACACCATTTTATAACGTTAGAGGTGGCTTAATTACAAAACTTTTGTGTCAAATTAATTAATTTATATCGTGAAGTATAATGTTTCATGGTACAAATGGTATTGTACCTCGAAACGCATGGCCTTGTACCTTGAAACACTAAATGACAGACTATATATAAATATAAGTCATATTACGTATTTATTAACATTTACTACAAAAGAACAAAATACATAAACATGTTTCACTTTATGTTATAATCATTAAAATCAATTTGGAACCACAACAGTCCAGCTAACCTGTCAGAACCTGTCAATGGAACTGGTTGAGGCAGCTTCATAACCAAGTCGTTGCCATTGACATCATATATTTGTTCAGATTTTTTAACAAATTTATTGCTGCTGCTTCTGAGCCGCTTGTAAAATTCAATTTTGAACTCGCTGTCGGCTAAATCCTTTGAAATATTCTTTCCAATGTAGTTTGTCAAGCCCTTTTTCTTAGGAAACTGAACGAGAACATAATCATCCACAGCGTAGGAGCTCGAAATAAATTGCTCTTCTTCCTCAAAATTGGTAATCTCTTCTGTCAATATATCAGAATCACTGTCATCGTTCAACAAAATCTCTCCTGATCCATCATCAAAAACTTGTTTCACTTTCCTGTTTGCCTTTTGCTTAGTTTTCGCTTTTGAGCTGTTTTCGTTGTTTAATTTCTTCCATTTCTGGCGTATCAGTCACAATTCGGGTGTTTCCTGGTTTTCTACCTTTTTTCGAGTTCTTTCTGGGCGCAGCCTTTGGATATGGACAAATTAGTTGTGGAGGAACAAAACTAGATTTATTTGGAATGGGAGAAGGTGTAATTTCTCTGAAGGACTGTCCCGAAATTGACTCTGAAGATGGGCGGGTGTTACAACTGTTATCTGGAGGAACATCAGAAGGAAGTGTTAATTCATTAGGCCGATCGGTTACATATGACACCATGAAGTCTTGCTCCGAAAAAACGCCACTGTCGAAGGGATATATTCCAGGCTTCTTAAATCCACTAACAATATTACTAATAGTAAATGCTCGAGGGTAAGCTTGTCCTAAAGCTTTAGCTATGCAATACATTGTATGTTTTACCCGGATTGCTTCTCAACCATGCATCAATAAACTGGCCATATAATGTTTGCAGGGGTCCATAAACAGAAAGGTCCAGGGATTGAAACTTATGAGACTTGTGAGGAGGAAACGTTAACACAGCAATACCTACTGTATACGCATATTCGAGAGCTTCGACAGACAAATGGGTTTCGTGATTGTCTATAAGAAGTAATACACGCTCGTCTCTTGAAGGTTTCACATGAGAAGCAAAGTGTTTTAAAAATACCAAAAAAAAGGTCTTAATTTTTCCATCCGGAGGGATTTGCACCTCCAGTGGTATCGGGGGGGGGGGCACCTAACCCTAGGAAAGATTAACATGGGGGGAATATGGTTTCCGATAGCATTTACTGCTGCAATAAGAGTAACCAAATGACCACGTTAAGCTAAAATTACACTTTCAACCTGTTTTTCCCCTTTAAGGCCAAAATTTTAGTTGGTTCTTGAACCGTTGTTAATGCAGTTTCATCTGTGTTCCAAATTCTTTCTGGCGGGATGGCCCAAACCGGTTATGGACATCTTCAAGATTATTGAAAAATGTGTTTACATTATTTTCATTGGAACAAGTTGATCTTGACAGACTAGTAGCTTCTGGCTTTCTCACTGAAAGGATATTTTTGTGCCGTTTCATAAACCAGCGCATCCGTTCTTCTCCCGCTATTTGGTTTACTTCTGCTTCGGTAAATACCTTCTTTACTTCAAGTTTTATGGAATATGTAAATATTTGTTTTTCAGACTCCCTGAATTGTTTTAATAAAAGTAAAATCATGTTCGTCTTTTAACACCTCTTGTACCTTGGAACACGTTTCATGGTACATGATGTCGGTGTGTTTCAAGGTACAATATGATACATTTTTGTAAACAACTCGTATTTGCTCCACGCTCTTTATGATGAACAAAAAAACCTAAATGTAAAAATACTTACCACAATATATTGTTGAAGTGCATACAGAAAACTTCTCACTTCACTCTTACTAGCCGAAATTATAAGCTATAATGTATACCTTAAATAATTTACTTTTTACGCGCGAAACTTTCGGCGTTTACTATCGAACACTGAGGTTAGAGCAAATGACGCGTTCCCCTGTCAGATGACCATCTGGTACAGTGTTGCCAAACTGTGATGTATTTTTTAGGATTTTCAACGACATTTTAAGTACTATTAATTTAGTTCCAAGGTACAATATACTTAAGGTACAACAATCTCACCTATCACACACTCGTAATTGTTTGTAAATAATAATGGTCACCAATTAACACCATGGATCCATGTTGCGTCTACTTTAACTATTTTTGATTACACACATTTGTTGTTTTGAGATCTGTAATTACAAGTGATATTGATTTTAGATGTCATTCTTTCACTTAAATATTAAATAGTCGTAGAAAAAGTAAAATCACACTTTATCTGCACTCGTCAGAAAAGTGTCGGTTTTTTTCACTTGTTGCCTGCCCAAACTACCATTTTTAATCAGCATTACCTGCGATTTTCAAAAAGTTTGAACATTCTTATAGGTTTGTTTCTGCAACAGTCTGAAGTTTTTAAATTGAAAACCATTTTCGTTCTCAAATATATTTTTGTATTGTAATAAAATGTAATTTCCGTTTTTTATATTTCCAGATGAACAACAGTTTGAATACTCAAAAATTATCATTGGACAACAGATTCATCTCAACTTCCAACCACCCTATTTACATCGAATTGCCAAACGAAAAGGGATTCATTCCGCAGTCAGACACAAAATTAAATATAAAGACCTAATGAGTTATAAGTAGCTTTATTTGTAATATATTGGTACCTATTCGTTTTTATTTTAACAATACGCCATTCGATAACGATATAAAATCATTACTTGTGATTAGTAATTTAATTATGACTTTTTAGTTTGTAATTTACTTGTACAGATTAATATTTAGGACAAACTTTAAGTTATTTATAGAAATAAATTATGTATATATAAGTCTATACTTATTTTTTTCTTTTTGGAAACCCACTACCTACCTAAATGATTTATCAAAAAAAAAATCTAATTTTCGCTTCAACACTTTCGTAAAGCAACATTTAATATTGACATTTATACCATAATACTGTTGGATAAGATCGATAACACTATCCAAAACGGAATAAGCATCGCTTATAAGAAATTCTGCCCTCTGAAGCTGGTCCAACATAACGACTAACACATGGTAATGTAATGAGTTAGAACACCTGCAAAAACCACAATTCCTAAAAAAGAAATGGGGCACCTCAAAGAATATATAAAAGTCGACAGACAAAAACTTAGGTAAACTTAAGTAAGTAAACTTAAAAAAACTTAAGTAAACTTACTTAAATAAACCTAAATATAAACTTAAGGGTCGTTTACTACTGCCTTCAATTTTTAAGTCCGTACTTGTTTATACCGGGTGTCCGCGCGAAAACTTTAAATGGAATTATTTCTGGCGTTTTAAAATATATCGACTTAAAATTTTGGAAGGTCATTAAGGAAGTAGGGGGTAAATTAATAGTGTTCAAAAGTTTAAATGACACCCTGTATTTTTTTTACATATTCTGAAAGAGCGTAGTTTGTTTAGTATCTCTATGTGAAAAAATTACTTAATTACATAATGAACTTTGAAAGATATTTACAGCTAAAGGTTCAGATACCAGATATTAAAAAAAAGAACTAGTAACCTTGGACAGTAGACAAATTTCGAAATAATTAAAGCAGATAGAAACAAAAAAATCTAATTATCCAAAAAAATATAACTTATCACAAAAAAATACAACTTATCACAAAAAAATACAACTTATCACAAAAAAATACAACTTATCACAAAAATAGGTATTCTTATAGACCAACACAATTTCGCTTTATAAACTAAAGTAAGGACTCTTTTTATTTTTTTAGTTAAATCAAATGTTCAAAATGTTCACCGTTTACATTTAAACAATAGTACAGTCTATTCTCGAAAGCGTTCCGAATATTTTCAAAGACATGTGGTGTTAAATCTCTACATTCCCTCTATGATTTTATTACGCAAATCATCAATGGATTGTGGTGGTGTCCTGTAAACAACAGACTTCAAATGTCCCCATAAAAAGAAATCCAGTGGGGTCAAGTCTGGGGAGCGAGCTGGCCATTCAATAGGACCCCTACGACCTATCCATTGTCCTGGAAAAACGGTATTTAAATATTGCCTTACTTCTAAACAGTAATGAGGGGGAGCTCCCTCTTGCTGAAAGTATAACTGATCCTCCTGCATTTGATCTAAGTTTTCTTCCAAGCACTGAATGATAAGAGGATGTATTAATTCTTCTAAAAACTCGAGATATCTAGGCCCAGTTAAATTCTCGTGATAGAAAATTGGACCAATTATTTGGTTATTTAGAATTCCAGCCCATACATTAATTTTTTGGGGACGTTGCGTATGGCCTTCTCGAAAAACGTGGGGATTAACATCGCTCCAATATCGACAATTGTGTCTATTTACGAAACCATTTAAGGAAACAAATATTTCGCAAAATATTTCTATTTTGCCGAATAATGCCTGTCATAGTTTCAGAAAATTGGACTCTTCTATCGAAGTCATCGTCGCCCAACTCTTGATGAAGCTGTATTTTATAAGGATGCATTTTATTTAATTTTAATATTTTAAGGCACGTTGGTTTTGCCACTCCCGAAGCTTCTGATAATTTTCTAACTGAAAGCTGTGGGTCTAAATTTACGTGACCAAGAACTGCAACTTGCGTTGCTTCATCTCGTGCTCCACGATTATTCATATCACGTTTTTTATTATTTACCGATCCAGTTTCAAAAAATTTTGGTATTAGATTAATTACATAAACAGCAGATGGTTTTCGTTAAATAATGCTGCCGTCTGCGAATAGTTTCTGTTTGCAATCCCATATAAAACTACAATTTCAGTTCTTTCTTCCAAACTGTAAACCATTTTTCTATTTTTTTAGCTATTTAATTTAAACTAAGTCAAATTTTTTCGAAAACTTTTGTACTAACGAGTAAACAGAAGTGTCACAAACAATATTATTTGACAATTCAAGCGACGAAGCAGCTTTCATGGCTTGCTATTATTTTTTGCTTTCAATATTTGAATATCTGGTATCTGAACCTTTAGCTGTAAATATCTTTCAAAGTTCATTATGTAATTAAGTAATTTTTTCACATAGAGATACTAAAAAAAATACGCTCTTTCAGAATATGTAAAAAAAAATACAGGGTGTCATTTAAACTTTTGAACCGGGGGTGGCTGGGGGCGGCAGATATCACGTTGTAGTGGTATCTTATACACTATTAATTTACCCCCTACTTCCTTAATCACCTTCCAAAATTTCAAGTAGATATATTTTAAAACACCAGAAATAATTCCATTTAAAGTTTTCGCGCGGACACCCGGTATATTTATTTTTAATTGAAAGTTTTTATTTTCTATTCATCAACCAATATAATTTTCTACATTTAATACCCAACTCTTCCCGTTTTTTCTTTATATGTTCTTTCCACTTGAATTTAATATCTATGTTCATGCCTAAGTATTTCGACGAATTAGAATATGATATTCTAGTATTATTTAATATCACTGGTCTTTAATTAGTGAAGTTAACCTGAACTGTTTTAGTTTCGTTGAACTTAATGTGCCATCTTTTTGTCCACTCGTAGATTTTATTAGTTGCCTGTTGAAGTTTTCTGGTCGATTCTTCTATGGTTTTACCGATGGTAAATATGGCTGTGTCGACGGTAAATGTGGCTACTTTCACATTTTGCGTTTTTGGTATGTTGGAGGAAAAAAAAGGTAAGGAACTGCTTTAGTTTCTTTGGAGTTTCTGTGGAGTTGATCAATAGTGGAATGCTTGTTCCTACATCCAAATTGGTGACAGATGTTATATTTTTACTGTCATGGACTTTAATCCTTTTAGTAAAAGTTTTTCGAAAAGTTTAAACAGCACTGGTAACAGGGATATAGGTCTAAGGGACTTTACTTCATTTGACGGTTTAAAAAAATCGTTGACGAAAAATTCGTTGGCAAAAAAATCGCTGACGAAAAAATCGTTGAGAAAAATAGTTGACGAAAAAATTGTTGACGAAAAATCGTTGCCGAAAAATCATTAACGAAAAATCGTTGGCGAAAAATTGTTTACGAAAAATCTTTGACGAAAAAATCATTGAGAAAAATTGTTAGCGAAAAAATACGAAACAATCCAAAAAAATTGTTGCCGAAAAATCGTTGAGAAAAAATCGTTGACAAAAAAATGGTTAGCAAAAAAATCGTTAACGAAAAATCGTTGACGAAAAAATCGTTGATGAAAAATCGCTCATGAATAATCGCAGAGGAAAAAATTGTTGACGAACAAATCGTTGACTAAAAAATCGTTGACTAACAAATTATTGAAGAAACGCCCTTGAAAAAAAACGTTGACGAAAAATCGTTGACGAAAAATCGTTGACGAAAAATGGTTGACGAAAAAACGTTGACGAAAAAATCGTTGACGAAAAAATATTTGACGAAAAATCGTTGGCGAAAAAGTCATTGACGAAAAAATCGTTGGCAATAAAATCGTTGATGAAAAATTGAAGAAAATTCGTTGAGAAACATCTTTGATCAAAAAATTGTTGACGAAAAAATCGTTAACGAAATTAACGAAAAATCGTTAACGAAAAATCGTTAACGAAAAATCGTTAACGAAAAATCGTTGACGAAAAAATCGTTGGTGAAAAAAATCGTTAATGAAAAAACGTTGATTTGATGAATAAAAATCGTTAAAGAAAAATCTTTGACGAAAATATGGTTGACGAAAAAATCGTTGACGAACAAATCATTGAGGAAAAGGCACTTGACGAAAAAATCGTTGACGAAAAATTGTTTATGAAAAATTGTTTACGAAAATTCATTGACGAAAAAATCTTTGACGAAAAATTGTTGATAAAAATCGTTGAGAAAAATTATTAGCGAAAAAATTGACGAAAAAATCCAAAAAATGTTGACGAAAAATCGTTGGTGAAAAAATCGTTGATGAAAAAATCGTTGAAGAAAAAATCGTTGACAAAAAAATGGTTGACAAAAAATCGTTGACGAACAAATCATTGAGGAAGAAGCCCTTGACGAAAAAATAGTTGACGAAAAATTGTTGACGGGAATTCGTTGACGAAAAATCGTTGACGAAAAAATCGTTGACAAAAAAATCGTTGAAAAAATCTGTGATAAAAATCGTTGAGAAAAATTGTTAGCAAAAAAATTGACGAAAAAGTCGCAAAAAAATTGTTGCCGAAAAATCGTTAACGAAAAAATCGTTGACGAAAAATCGTTGACGAAAAAAATCGTTGGTAAAAAAATCATTAATGAAAAAATCTTCGATGAATAAAAATCGTTGACGAAAAATCGTTGACGAAAAATCGTTGACGAAAAAATCGTTGACGAAAAATCGTTGACGAAAAAATCGTTGACTAAAAAATCGTTGACTAAAAAATAGTTGACTAAAAAATCGTTTACGAAAAAATAGTTGACGAAAAATCGTTGAGAAAAATCGTTGACGAAAAATCGTTGACGAAAAAACGTTGACTAATAATCGTTGAAGAATAAAAATAGTTGAGAAAAATCATTGACAAAAAAATTATGACGAAAAAGTAGTTGTCCAAAAACACGTTAACAAAAAAATCGTTGACGAAAAAAATCGTTGATGAAAAAAATGTTCAACGGCGGACCATTGGAAACATTAAGAAAAACAAAAAATATAAATGTTCACCAATAACGACTTAAAATATCTTAATCGAAAACCAAATTCTTTCAAAAATATACAGAGTATAGTCTTATCTTTTTGTTCTAAAATGGTTTGTCATCATAACAATGTGTAGCTATTCTATCGGTCCGGTGGTGTCTAAGCCGCTTACATTCATTTGCGAGCAATTTTGTGGTTGAGAGATACCCGGCTTCGAATCATACAGATCATGTGAATTTATTTGCATGGTTCTCTATAAAATTTGATGGATGCCGTATTAATAGAAATTTAATCTCTGTTAATATGACATCCAGACTATAAAAATCGCCATGCGTTACAGTTTCAATTATGGTGGGTGGGATTTTCCTCACCTATAAGTCAAATGGCACCATCATTCATTTTTAAGTAGCCCTGGAGCGTCACGGCAAATAATAATAGCCGTCCCTTCCCCTACACTAGGTGCTCAGTTGGCTTCAGGGGCTGAAATTTACTCTTATCGGGGTAAATTATGGAGAGTATTATTATTCATTATTATTATTAATATGATTATTAAGCGTTGTTGTATTCTAATAGTAGTCAAAGTGTGGCTCGAGACATTTTAATCTAATAGACTGTACATCACATATATGGCTACTAATAAAAACATTTACTTGATAATATTTTCTTTATTAAATTAATTTACATGAAAAATATGATTTTAATAATAATAATACATCAATATATAAAAAGAGATCTAAACAGAATCACGATAAAAAGCATTTTTTTTTAAATAGCCGTAACATTATAAAAATAAATTAATCTAAACTAATGCCGAACTGGGACTAGGTGATCGCTTCTCCCTCTTGCTTCCTTTCTTGTTTTTCGATTTGTCTTTCTTTTTACTGGATCCTGAGCTGGAAGCCGAATCGGCCGGTGATGTGCTATTCGAATGGTCTTGCAGACGCAAAATATCCCTGAGGTTGGTCAGTTCTTCGTCTTCACCTTCTATGTCGACGTTCAACGAATCTATTATTTCTGGAGGGATCTCGTTATTTTTCTTGGGCGTTCCTACAAATTATTTACAATGAATACAATATTCCTTCTATTTAATTCTTAAAAAAACATCCATATCTGTATTTAAAATAAATACCCTGAAATAGCGCCTGAATGTCGAAATAATAAACCATTGTGTTACCAATTTTACTAGGGAGATGGACGATATATTGATAGTCGGGAAAGTGGAGGCCGTAAAAGGTTCAAATAAGGCAGAGAGGGAATTAGATCCGAACTCGAAAAATTTGTATTACGAAATTTACTATCAAAAGAAGGCGTCGTCTTTAAATAAACTGGTGACGACGTCCTATATTAAATACTGATGTCATAAAAAATACACATGTATCAAAAATACGCTCATAAAAACAAAAGAATTTTGATTACTTGTCCAATAAAGTCATAAATCTAGAATTCCAACAATTATGCCCAACCCTGTATACATGGAAATATTTTTAACGGATGCTTTGGAAAAAAACACGCATGTCGGAGTGTACAACTCTTCGGCAATGACGAATTTTAGAAACATTTTTTTGTGGACCATTTTTTAGTTTGTCAGTGCATAAACATCATTATATTTGTCATTTTTAAGTCAAATTTCTTGAAGTTTGCAGTGGGGTGAAAATACAACGGCGTATTGATGCACCATAGAAATTATTTTATAGTAAAAAAAGTCAAAATTTTGAGAATAAAGTCGAAATTTTGAGAAAAAAGTCAAAAAACATAGAAAACGAAGGATCTGCCCTCTCATTTGCAGCAAGTGATTTATGGTCACCTATCACACTTAAAAATATTAATGACGATACAAAATAACCGATTTATTCTTTGATTTTTGAATTTTAATATTTATCCTTTCTCCAGCCTCTTTGATTTGTGTTGTGTTCTTCAATTTAATCGAACTGTTATAATTTATTTTGCTGAATACAGTAACGGCTGGTTCATAAGTGCTGTAGAGCAGATGAACTGCCAAAAAAAATGCAAGAAATTATTTTAGACATACTATATGTAAAATAAATTTTATTGAGTAATTTTAATTATTAAATGGTATCTATAGCGCGCGAACGTATCTTACCATCATTTATTAGATGAGAATAAGTTCATAGGGGAGCAGTGGAAAACTTAACAAAAGCTCACCAGGTCATATTCATCTTACCACCCGTGGTTCTCTAAAAAGTAATGCCGGGACACGTAGTGTTTGGTCTGCATTTTTGCCAGACCGGCGAGCTGTGTATAGTCTGTCACATATGTGATGTGATTCGATTTTGGCTTTGTAGATTATTAGTTTGTGTTATTTCGTCAGTGTGAGTTTCCTTTATACATGACAGACATGGATGTAGCTTATAAGTTAATAAACGAAAAGAGATTTTTTTAAAACGAGTATGAGTATAAGTTTGCTGCTAAAAAGGACTGCAGGATAGAAATAATGTATAAAAAGTAAGTGAATAAAAGCTGTAAAATAATAATTCCTTTTTTGTATAGTATACTTTCAAAATTTCAAACTAACTTCTAATGTCCCACATAGCACACGGACGTCTTATGGACGTCTAAAAGACGTCCTACAGGGACATAAAGGACGTCCAAGGGACGTCCTATTTTGGTACCGGGACGTCAATCGGACGACCAATGGACGTCCTAATGTCCCGTTTCCGTCCATCTTAGGGACGTCCCGAGGGACGATATTTGACCATAATCCATAAAGGGTAATAATAACAAAAATGTTAACATCAAAAGGGCTTTATTTAACAACTTTTATCCTGAAATAACTAGCTAGAGTAAAACGTTTTCAGTTTACAAAAAAAAAAAAAAAAGGAATGAATTAAATTTAACACACAGGGCTGGTAAGATGAAACCTTAGGTCCTACTTATAGCTTGTGTCGATTTTTGTCCAACTTTCCGCCATTAAGGTCTTTTTCGCCAGCGGCTACCGCCAATACACATCACTTATTCTCACCTCAACAAAAAACACTCACTTATAACCTCTTTACCACCAACATCAAAAAAAAAATAACAAATAACACTATATTACTTTCTTTTTTTTTTTTTCGTTACTTTAACTCACTTATATAAGTTAATTATTTAATTCCGAAATTTGTAACTGTTGTTGTTCATTTGAAAATAAATGATAGGTTAGGTTTTCTGTCCTCATACTCTTGCAAAAACAAAATGATGAATTTCAAGTTATCGATTTAAAGACCAACGATATTAGTACATAGAAAGTCCCATAGACGTCCCATTAACGTCCTGGACTCGGACCGAAAACTAAACGCTTTGACGAAATGGGACCAAAATAGGACGTCCAGAGGACGTCTGTCAAAGGACGTTCCAGTGTTCACGGTAATCGGAAGTCCACTGAACGTCCTATTTAGGTCCGGGACCAACCGGACCAACAAGGGACCAAATCAGGACGTCCATGGGACGTCCTGTGCTATCTGGGGTGTTTCCGAAACTTTTTCAAGTTTCATCACATAATATCAATATTTTCCCACTCTTCTTCATTGGTTTTAGAAGATAAGCCTTTATAATTTCATTTACTGTCATGTTTTCCTCTGTCAGAAAATACCAACTTTCTTTAGGACCAGAACCATTTTTGGGCATTGCAAATAGCACTACCAAAGGAATTATCTTAAAATAGACGGATGGTGCAACACTCACGAACTGGAGAGATACCCCAAGGCTAACTCATTCGAAGGCGTTTATAATAAACCCTTCTATGAATACCTCTGCTCAGATTCGAGAATGGAGTAGGAAAATCTACGCATTTTCACGGGACTGATGACAGGACACTGCCGTCTGTACAACCACATGAGAAGGGTAGGTCTGCAACAAACATCGGACTGTCGATTCTGCAGCCTGAAAGACAAATCTGCAGAGCACATTTTATGTACCTGCTCCGTTTTGGAAAGGACCAGGTTCCAGGTCTTCGGATTTACATGACTGGAGCCTACCGACTTTAAACAAGTCTCACCCAATTCAACCATGGCCTTCATCAAAAGGTGTGGCTTGTACGGTGAACCAGTCATGAGTCACATTAAGTCCATCTGGGTTGCAGTGGAAGGAGATGAGATCATCCCACTCATTTTCAACCTGACCTACTAACTTTTTTCATATGACTTACAATTATGTTATTTTCTGATTCTAAGACTTTAACTAAGGTAAGTGCACCAATAATTGACAGTGTTCCAGTAATTGACACTTGCTCAATTATTCTTCAAAAATAAGAACATTAGACTATATATGAGAAATTTATCTTAAACATCGGTATTTTTAGAATATTTGGCAGCCGTGTAGCAGACATAACAGATGTTAGGTGGCACCACGGTCAGTTACAAAATGGTGTAAAGAGCACGTGCCGTAATAGAGTATTTATGTTAAGACATTTCATAAGGTCAGTATACCAAATTGAATATATCTACTTCTTATCACTTCATGCACAAAATTTCACACCAGTCCGCGAAAAAGTTACTGGACAACAATTGCGACAATGGTTTCGGGAAGTGAAAGAATACTTGCAGTCAAAAAATGTATTCAACTCTGATGAGAGTGCTTTTTTCTTCAACCAAAAGGTGATAAAGTACTTGCACGAAAAGGGGATAAAAGCGTGTACAATGCTGGAACCAACGACGAGAAAGAAAATTTAACTGTATTAGTCATCGCCAATGCCGCTGGGACACTAGCTCCTCCCATGGTGGTGTTTAAATATGAACGCATTCCAAGTCATGTAGCTGTCAGTATCAATAAAAGTTGGGGAATAGGCCGTTCCGAAAGTGGATGGATGTGTGGAGCAACTTTTTTTTAATACATAATAAATGTGTTTGTACCATGGCTAGATGAGAAAAAAATTGAGAGACCTATTATTATGTTTATTGACGGTCATGAGTCGCACATGACATTACACCTATCAAAGCTTTGTTCAAAAAACGGAATAGAACTTTTTGCATTGTATCCAAACTCTACACATTTAATTCAACCTATGGATGTGGCTGTATTTAAGCCGTTAAAACAATTTTGGAAAAAATCTGTAAGAGATTGGCACATCCAAAATCACGAAAAATATTGCGAAAAGAAAATTTCGGAAAAGTGTTTGAGAAAGCGTTATCCAAAGTTACAGATAAAACAATTCAACATGGATTTAGGGCATGTGGACTTTTGCCGTTTAATGCAGAAAATGTAAAATTTTCAAAAATTTCAAACCCGTCGACAGAAGTTAATCAAACCAGAATAATAGAAGGGTTGGCAGTTTTGGAAAAATGTATTCCTTCAGAAAAATTAAAAAACTTTCGAACAAATTTTGATACTACATGGACAGGTAATATGGAAGACGTGTCACTATTTAATGTATGGAACACAATGAAAAAAAAAAATTAAAATAGAATCCGCTTTAGGTGCTGAACCATTAGAAAACATAAATAAAAGTGAGAACCAAAATGGCAACAAGAAAGAAAATGATCTTGTAGAAAACATATTAGACAACTCGAGACCAAGACCTTCTGGCCTTCAACAACAAAGAGTTGATTCTGATATGACCCCATTAAAAATTGTTATACATTCTGATGTCAATATTACACCTCCTACTGTATCACAAAGTGATAGATCTCCTTTAAATTCATTGGAAAATACAACGCCGTTCAATGTATTATCTTTAATGAAACAAGTTCCCACTCCATTTAAAAAAGCCTTGTTTTGGCCGGAAGAAGTAAAAAACACAAAAAAAAAGAATAAAGAGCAAATTTTTTGTGCTATTATGTCAGAAATTTGGCAAAAATACCACATAAAAAAGGATTTTGAGAAAAAGAGAAAACAAGAAGAACAACAAAAACGGGCAGAAGAGAGAAAGCAAAAAAGGGAAGAAAAAATTATAAAAATACAAAACAAGGCTAAGTCAGTAAAGAAGGAAAGTTCTGACAATTCATCCGAAAACGAAGAATGGATAGAAAGTGGAGACCATAGATTACTAATTTGAATAGATGGGAAACTCAATGGTAAAATTCTGAGTCGATGTGCTGCCATCTATCAAATTGGAGTGGTACTAAAATTCAATATGGCCGCCACGAGCGGGCTTTTTGAAATTTAACTTTGTAGTAGCGCAAAAATGTAATGAAGAAAATCAAATAAAGCAAAAAAATTGGAAAAATATTTGACTAGTTTCAAATCATAAAACAACCATATTGACTGTTTTGTGATTTGAAACTAGTCAAATATTTTGCCAATTTATATCTTTATTTGATTTTACTTCATTATATTTTTGCATTAATTTCAAACTTGAAATAAAATGCAATTTATTTTATTTTTTTTATTACAGTAAATTAACGCCACATCATATAATTTGTCTATTTAAACATGGAAATACTCAAACAAATCTGCATTTACACCGTTTAAAAATCAGCATATATAAGTGCTCAAGACCTTTATAAAAGTTTTGCGACTTGGAGTGGCAAATAAGTTTGAAAAAATTGAAGTTGAAGCATCATCCTTTTTTACTATCGAGGCAAATTTGAGTGTGGATTAAATTTGCCATACGGTTATTGAGTCGACTAGTTAGGTTAAGGAGCATTTCTTCATCCGATAATTGTTTTCTTGATTCATTTATACAGCACTTGTAGTTATCAAATTTTTATTCATCATGTGGGCACTGTGATAAATGAATTTAACTTTTGAGCATAAATTCAACTTACACACGTTTGGAACCTTGAAGATTTTAGGGTGTTTTCTTGTTTGATGTCAATGACATTGAATCAATTTTTGATATTGATGGCCGAGGCTCAAATATTTCATCGATCGACAGGGTATTTTGGAGGGCCAACATTTCTTTACAACAATAATCATTTAAAAACTGAAACCAAAAAGAAATTTAAATAAATCAATTATTTTAACACTGAATCAAAAACAAGTTTGTAAATATTACTTACTGCATATTTAATGTGGTATAAATTGCATCACTACCAATATCTGGGAGTGCTTTATTGTTTGTTGCTGAAATCCATCTTCCCATCTTTTGAAAACATGCTTAAAATTGGAAGGTGTTGAAAAATAAATTTAGATTCTAGATGAATCAAAATTCAATACGCAATAGCCATTTTGCAATAGCCATTTTAATTTCTCCAAATTAAGAAGTTTTGACGAGCTGACAACTGACATGACATTTCGATACGAGCGCCATCCCGTTAATTGGAGTGGTACTAAATTACCGTCCTCATGTTTTTCCATTTGAGTTACCAGCCCCTGGTGGAGACAGTATTGATGATGTAAGTATCAATTTAGAAAATGAAGAAGAGAACGAAATACCAATCAAATACGACGATATCCATGTAGGAGATTTTATTTTAGCGAAATTCTTAGGAGGAAAATTTTTTTTTGATAGGTATATCTGTGTGGTTCAGAAGAAATATTCCCGAAACGATATTGAAGTTATATCCCTTAAATCAACAAATGAAATGAATACCTTCAAACTTGTTGATAGTGATATTTCAACAATCAAGATAGAGGATATCATAAAAAAGTTATCCCAACCGGAACTACACAATATCGGCGACAGAATAAAATATGTATTTTCAAAAAATATTGATATTTTTTAAGCCTAAAGCACCCATAAATTTTCATTGTTTGTTTTTATTTTTTGTGTTATGAATTTGCTGTTTATTTTTATTGAAAATTAAAAGTATAATAAAAAAATGTTCCTTAATTTGTGGCGTGTGTCAATGACTGGTACTTCAAAACATTTTTTTTATAATATTTATTTCATTAAAAGCAAAATTATTAGAACTAAAAATACATAATTAATGAACTCAAGAAACTATAAGCTACAAGAAAAAATCATATTATATGCTTAAATTTTTTTGTTATTGGTGAAAATAATTATTTAATACAAATCAGCGTCTAATAGTGTCAATTATTGGTGCAGTTACCTTATAGTAATCATGTCTCGATTGAGTTTCATTTTAAGTGTTCTTGTAATTTTAGTATTGTTTCCTCTTGCTTTAAATAATCTTCCGGTGTTAATGTATTGGATTCTATTAGATTCTAATTTTTTGATTTTATTGACTCTATAGTTTTCCACATGGTCACTAGTTTTTCAAATAAATCTGATTCTGCATCAAGTGCTATTTCTTCATAGTTTTTATGTACCTATTTTTTCCGAATGAACTTCTTTAAATTTAAAATTTGAGGAAGGGTGTAGAATCTTGCAGAACATCCAGTATCTTTAACCACAAGCCACTACTGGCTGAATGCCTGAATGTTCATTGATACAAACCAAACAAATGCACAAGACAAGTTAAGGCATTTCTTTATAAGCTTACCAGAACATACTTCTGTAACCAGAGCATTTCTTTATAACGTTTGGTTACTCTGCTTTGGTTACATGTGTAGCTACATCTAACGAGGCATTTCTTTATAAGCTTACCATAACTTACTAGAACATACTTATGTAACCAAAGCAATTCTTTAAACGGTTTGGTTACTTCCATGACGTCATACGTTACCAAAATACGTAACTACTACTAACCATGATGTTTTTAGTGGTAAGGTGTGTGGTAAGGTCAGTAAGGTCCACATTTAAACATATCGAGCATGCGCAAAGTATTGTAAAGATATTAAATTAGATACATTTTTCTGTGGTTACGGGTTATATGGTTCATTTTGTATATTTGGGTTGGGCATTTTTGTATTTACCAAAGAAAACTCTATTTACTATGAAAGAAATTACATTTGAAATACAGGGCACTGAAATAACTCTTCACGAGAGCGATGTTGATGACCACTGGATACTGTTATTTATATTGAAATAAAAGATGAAAATATGAGACTACTGGCACAAGTATTTATCATTGTTATTTCATCACAAATAACACTTATTAATTTTTTTACTTCCTTTTGTTGGATGAGACATATTTAAATAAATAACAATAGAACGAAAACCAAATGACGTCGGTGACAAAAACACTTTTATTTATCTGAACAAAAACAAAGTAAACAAATCCCCAATTTGACATGTGACAACGACAAGTGCTACGAGTTACCACGGTATGTCTGACGTCATCAGAGTAACCACAACGCTGTTACGAAGTATGTCGTGGTAAGCTTATAAAGAAATGCCTTTATTTATAAGCTTACTAGAACATATTATAATAAAAAATAACAAAGTCAAAACATCCTAAAATTTCTAAAATACAAATTTCGTTTAGAAATCCCCAAACTTAAATTAAATTTGACATATGACATTCAATAATAGGGAAACCATGGTATGCGTAATGTCATCACAGTAACCACAATACTGTAACCAAGTATGTTGTAGTAAGCTTATAAAGAAATGCCTTTAATTAAAGAATATTTCTTATGGGGGTTAATGTTAATTTATCTACAGTTATGTAGCAATATAAAAATTGATAAAATAACATCAAAAAGACGTTTTATTGCCACATAAATTAATTGTTTATTGCATCTTTGCTAGTTGGAGGTTTAGGCATATAAATTATAACCCAAGCTGGCATACTTATAGAGGTTACTATTTATTACCTTTTCATGCTTTGTGTTTAATATTTTGGCATACTTATGTATCACAGTTGTTTTTTTACTTTGTTCTCAAAATGTTAACATTTTTTTCAAAATTATGCATTTATGTTCTTAAAATTTTGACTATTTTCTCAAAGGTTGTTTTGTAAAATATTTTTGTATATGGCAAGAATACGCCGTCATAAATGTGTGAAAATATTTTGAATTTGAATGTTTAACTTTTAGGTAGTAAAAAACGATAATTGAAACTTCCATCAGGGCAATAAAAACACTGTATAAAATTATGTTTTTAAATGATTTGGGAGGTCAGTGGTTCATGGTGTGCTGCAATAACCTCCTTTTAATTGAAATTGAAAATGTTCATTTTTTTCTATATCTATTTGGGTTGTTCACCGTTGTGCCGACTTTATACTTGTAACCAACGCCATAGAAAATATATACCAAAAAATTTAGTTAGAACCACATAAATTTATTTTTTTTTTTTAATCTGAAACTGAACTGGACCCAATATTATTAGTTCTATTGGAACGGAAACAGTTCATTTAATTTCAGTACGGGTACTTGAAGTAGTTATACCTCTAAAATGAATATAAATTAAGCATTCTCACCTCCTTTCTTTTTACTACCATTTTTGTCTTTTTTCTTCTTTCGTTGTCCACCCGAGTTCCAGTCGACATCATCGTCATCATCACTAGTCACACCCCCATAACTTACACCGTCTTTACTAGTACACACGGCTCTTCTAGATGCATTTCTCGGAGTCCTTCCCATGCCCATGCATTGTTCTAAATGTTTTGCAAATCTCACAGGACCCACTGTACGATTACATGTCGGATTCGGACAAACGCACTCTTGATTCTTCTTAACATTGGGTAGAGAGAAAATTTCAACGTCACCAGCTTCTGCGTCTTCTGAAGTTTCGTCTACGTCCAACGAATAAGCGTTTGTTTTGTATTTTCTGTGCAAGTCGAATATAATGCCTAATGTTAATTCATCTATTAAATTGTTGAAAAAAATGTCTATAGCTGCACGAAGGGCCTGTTTGTTACTTACTAAATCGTGAAAATCTTTTGCCAAATAGTTAAATAATTGCTTTTGATCGAACTTGTTTTTGCGTTCTGACATTTCAAACTTGCCGCCGTAAACGACAAGGTTAGGTTAACCTAAAAAAAAAAATAAAAACAATACATGACTTAAACAAGAATATAAATATAATTAGCAACTACCGTGGTTTTTCTTGGTTCTTTATATTACGAACACTATAATTATTAACAGTATTTTTCTTGAAAATTTTGTAAAATCTAAAACTTTATTTTGACTTTGACAGTTTAACGGTAACAGTGTTGCGAGGGCAATTAAAAATATATATAATGGTTGCATTGGTAACTAAAAAATGTTATAAATGTCTGACTTTTATTAAGTAACTATGCCACTGATTGACTGCAATCTTCTCATTTGCATTAATTACGTGTAATTACATCTGATTTTATTCATTCGTAACACAAACATTGCAATTAGAGGTTACTGTTGGAATTTGGAAAGCTGCATAAAAATGAAATCTAATAGAAAACTAACAACAACGGCAACGTTGCTAATTATGGGTCAACACCCCAACAAAGAGAAAGGAGAATCGATTTTTCGTAGTGGCTAAATAGCCGATGCCGTAAGGTAGAAATTAAATGTGATTTTAAATTTTTATCGTCCATTTGTAAAATATTTTCAAAAAATTAGTTTCAAAATACTTTTTAAAATGTTTCTTAGCTATTTACTTTTTTTGGGCTCGTCTGCCTAAAGGCTAGTTCATGTAGTTGCGAATCGCGAAGGTCTGCATTTGTCAATATCACAATTTTTTTTAGAAATTTTGACAGCCCAAAAGTTGAATTATTTGCGAATTCGCATTAGGTATTCAAAATCTGAAAGCGGGAATCTTGAAATCGTTTTAATATTTTGCGAATATCCTACAAATTTTATGTGAATGATGCGTACCTATGTAGCGCCTGCTACAGTTTGTTGTGGATTTTGTTTCTATATATTTGTATTGTATTTGTCACTCGCGTATCGGGGACAACACTAATCATTTGTAGTGCGCATATCGTACACATTTTATTTGTACATCGGTCTCCTTTTGACAGAGGTGAGCTGTGTTCAGGCCGTTGGTGTTTATGCCGGTCGGCGTAGCCAGGTATGGATTAAAATGTGTTGGTGGCGGCGAAGCCGCCACCCTACTAAAAGTCGTTGTTTCGTCTTCTTGTTGTCACGTCATTATTATTATTATTTGTTCATGTATGTAAAATTTGCTTCTAAGGTTTATAAAATACTACTGCTAGTCACGGCGTAAATGAAAACAAACAAGACGCATTCACATAAACACCTTCCACCACAGCAATTACAAATGATTAGTGTTGTCCCCGATACGCGAGTGCATTTGTCTGGTATGTTTACATAATTTTGTGAAAAGAATAAACCTGTTTAGTGCCAAATAAAGCACAGATAATACTGTTATGTTCATTTCTAAGTCTTGCATGTTTTAAAGGTATGACCAAATTCGAAAAGGTTTGTTAAATGATGAAATTTGATAAGTACAATTTTATAGCTAATTTTTTTTAATTATCCCTAAATATAGTTTTCAGAGCAAAATAAAACACAGTTAACAGATTTTTTATTGTTGTAATACAAGCATAACGGGAGATTTGGGAATGTAGAATGTACATGCCTCATCTTTTAATTTCGGCCTTCCCCTTTTTATTTTGCTAACAGCAGTATATCATCTGTAAAAAGTAAGGCTGGTAACCATGACCGTTTAACCGGTTCCGTAAGACCAACAACCGTTAAAGAACGTAACCGGTTCAACCGGAACAGGTTTAAGGGTAACCGGTTTAACCGAAACCGGTTTATAACTGGTTTAATCGTAACCAATTTAACCGCAACTAGTGTTACTCTAATCGAACCGGTTAAACCTGTCACTTGTTGAGCCGTAACTGGTTTAACTGTATCCTAAACGGGTTTTAGCGAGATCGTGAACGTAAAAGTATAGTTTGAGTTCTTAAGGATGCACATATTTCTTAAAACGTCGATACTGACATCGAATGATATACCAAAAACAAAGTATCGATGGCATTAAAATGACCGAGGAGAAAAAAGTATATTTATAAACCGATGTTTTTAAAACTTATACATTTAAAAGTAAAGTAAAACAAAATGAGAATGTATTTATTTTATAAAAAAATACAAACAAATATAAACATTCCAAATGTAATATTAAAACAAAGCAAAACTAAGGAAATTATTATTTTTTAATAAATTTACATCACAGTTATCCAAAATATGCCACGATTAAGCCGGTGATGGTTACAGTTAAACCAGTAACGGATAAACCAGTGACGGGTTTAACTGGTCACGTTTACGGTTAAACCGCCGAATCCGGCCTAACCGGTTCGGTTCGACCGATTCGGTTAACCGGCTCGGTTAACCGAATAATCTGACCGGTTGACCGAATAATCGGACCGGTTAACCAGATATACGGGACCGGTTATAATACCGTTTATCACGTCAGGAATTAACAGCCTTAGGACCGATTCCACCGTTGTGTTAAACGGAGATTAAAATGGCGTTGTTAATGTAAAAATGTCATTTTAAACTTCGTTTAACACAACGGTGGAATCGAACCTTAGTAAAAAGAGTGTCTTTATCTTCTAAAAATTGTAGCTCGCAATTCGCGATTCGCATCTACATGAACTAGCCTTTAATCTCCGACAACACTTATTTTTACTTATTAGAATACCTAATTACAAAATTAATAAATAAGAATCGTGATAAGTTAATTAGTTCAATGTTCATTAAAAGAAATATAGCACCGAACGTATTATCCATTTTTTTGAAAACAAATTTTATTTTGGATTTGATACTATGCCGGTGCCGACAATCGATGCAGGGCTTAAAATAGTCTCGCAAATGCCGGGTACAGGGTTGCCATGAGCAAAATATTTTTCAAATATTTGGTGATTTTTTATTGTAGGCGATCACTTTTATAAGTGACACCAGTGACCAGTGTGACCGGTCACTTACAGATAATGACCGGTCGATTTTGAATATGACTAATATATCTCCTCCAGTTCACGCCCATATTATTATGACCTAGAGATTTGTTTTTTAACGTATTGAGCATTGAAAGTCAACAATGGTATAAGGCATATTAGGTTTGTTCCAACAACGATCAGAAACCAGTCAGTGACACTAGGATTCTGCCATGGAGGAAAGATTATTAAGAGTTGCCGTATCTTTATAGAAATTTGGCAACAAGTTTGCTTGCAGCGACCTGTGGAAGCGGGTGGTTCAACTAATCCTACTCTGTCGGTAATATAGTTACCTGCAATATTAGCTGTTCAATCATTACTCTGTTGGTAATGCAGTTGCCCGTAATACCATATTTAATTTGAAAATTGGCGGGCTTATTTTACATCCATTAAGAGGAGCATTTATTTTAACAATTATTATTTTCCATCTAATACGAAATATAGGCATCCAAAATTTCAGTTAATTTTTTTCATTTTTAGTGAAAGAAAAACATGTAAGTGAAGGTAGACGTTCGTTCCTCTGGAGCCACTTTTTTAAAATTTGATCAATTTTGATGGCAAAAATCGCAAAATTTTGTTTCATAAAGACTTTCTCAATTTTTGAGAAAATAAATCAGATTTCGGAATAGTGGCTCCAGAGAAACAAATATTTCACTTTTACCTGAATGTACATATTATTCATTTCACTAAAAATTAAAAATAAACTAGAAATGTCCATAGCTCTATTTCGTATTGGTTAGAAAAAGATAATTGCTAAAGTAAATTTTTCTCCTCTTAATTATATTTAAAATTTTGCTTTTTTATTAGCTGTTTGTTACAATTATGAAATGCCAATAAAAATGTCAAATTCTATGACAAATAACTATGAGGGGTAAAATAAATACCATACAAAGTTTTATATAATTATATTTACTAAAAATTCCCAAGAAAAATAAATTAAATTAATGGTAATACAACAATAATAATAGATTTTCCTACACTTCAACCTACATGAGTTAAACCCCAAGAAGAGCTTGTGAGTGGCATGAATAGTTATTATTATTTGCTATGGCACTCTGGGCTGACTTAAAGATAACCGATAGTGCCATATTATTTGCAGGTGAGTAAAACTCGGATAACCCGGCCTACCATCATTATTTGTATATATTAGTTTATTTTGATACAAAGTACAATCTATTTTTACAAAAATGTTTACTAGTTTCTATAAAAAATACTCCTAATTTCACGAAAATGTTATTCTCTAAAGACTATCTAATGAGTTTGACTTAAAAACATTCTAGTATTATAAATTATCTCCAAATATTTATTATCTTTAAGAAAGTTACTCTAATATCAGAAATATCACATTATTATTTAGGTGCACGTTAACTATCTTCGGTTAAAATAATGAATATCAGAAATTGCAAATAATTCATGTACTTGATTTGAAAAAACTAATTTTCTAAATAACAAAAATATTCTTGTTGAATCTTGGGAAATAAGATAAAAGGCAACCATCCATATAAACTGAAACAGAAAAAAAATTAAATGCAGTAACTTCAATCATTTTGTTTATCTTTTTGGTCTTAAAATATTGCCACAGCTCTCATATTAGGTCTGTCTGGGTTCTTCAAAAATACATTGAGAACTATCAGAAGACTAGTTGACCAGTGGACAGTTTAATAGTTGTATCCGACAAATAATTTGGAATTAAACTGTTTCACTGGTTCTCGGACAGTTTGCATCGAGTTTTAAAGAAACCTGAACAAACCTACATTATAATAGTTTTGAATTAAATTGTTGAAATATCTTTGATTCTGAAATTTTGACTGCAGTTTAAACGTCACATTAGGAATTACAGGGCATTTTTTAATTTGCAAATTTTACTTTTCTGTTTTCTATAAAATTTATTTAAAAATCCATTATCGAAACGTTGTTCCTTATGTAAGATTCAAATTCAATTGATGACTGACCGTTTTTGAAATTTTGATCTTCTATATTATTGGAATGTAACACAGGTAATCTGGAGGTGTGATAACAACATTACTAAGTATTATTATCTTTGGTGTATCTGGTTTTGAGGGTGCTAAGCAAGCACATCTTAGCAGTCTTAGTCTTGAACAATTTGTGTTTGTAATCGATTTCGTATCAAAATTATCTCATAATTCATGATTGGTTTCACATGAAATGTTTAAAATGTGGCACCATTCTTTCTTTGATTTGGAAATTATGTATTTTCTCTAGTTAAAGCATCAAAATACCTTTACTTCATTTTAAATAATCCTAAATAACTTATATCTAAAACTAAAATTAATAAAAAATACTCTCACTCACATGTTTTCTTCGGCGGCAACCATAACCATATTGTTTTATTGTTTACTTTTTGTGGATAGCGCGCGCGTCATCGTGGCAGCGGTCACACGGGGGGGAGCCAGCAGGCACGTAGCGGACATAAAGACAGGTTAACATTGTACAAATAACTAAGTGAAGGCATGATTTTTTAATTTGGTTTAATATATAAATTAAAATTGTTGAAATAATACTTTTTTGTGTTACTGAGCGAGATGTTATTAAATTATTCAGTGTGCTTTACATTTTAATACAATTTGGTTATTGT